AATGCATTTAATTTCTCACTCCAGCTGCCAACAATAAGCTCTAGATTTACATTATCTAAAAGGGAAAAGATTACCTTTAATAAGCTACCATTTCGGAAAGTGGAAAACCAAAGAAGTTCAGTAAGTCCCACATTCACTGCTGTGCTCTTTTCTTCGTTAGAGCAGAAGCAGCTAAACAAACAGCGCATAAAAAACAGTGCCAGGAATATCTTAATAAAAATGCCTGGATTTCTAGCCCTTTCCAGCTCTAAAACAGCACGAAGCAAATAATACACCAGTGTAAACACAGATTTTCCTCACAGTGATGTTTTCAGTAGTTTTCCTCATCTCATGACGTTTTCAGTGGATAAGAATAACTAATACTAAAAATGTCAGTGGCTGTAGAAACTCCATCACCCCATTATCGCCAGTAGAACCAAACCACATTTAAGTTACCCTTCAAAGAACTACAGCAGAGAAGACCTGAGCTAACTGCTCAACACAGATCTCCATTTGGACACATGTCCAATACAGAAAATGTCATTACTGTTAAGTTGTGCTTTGTATCCTTTTAGAACACGGTACTTAAATTCAGGAATGACCAAAGTAAGGGGAGTTCCATAAGAAGCAGACTAAAAGCAGAGATACTTAATCTATGTTTTTAAACAACCGTGGTTTATATTCCTCTTAACAGAAAACAAAGAGCCTGCTTCAGTTCTGCCAAACCAGTCATGTGCTTCATATTGCTTTCACAGCAGTAGCAAGCTGCAGATGCACTACATTGGCTGCATCCATGCTGCTGCCCTGGGAAGGTACAGCAGACTGAGCTCAATCCTCCAAGAGAACGAGAGAAGAACATTACATAACCTCCAACAAAAAAGTAGGATTGCCTCACAAATTCATTTCACAAAATTTACTTGCAGTACAAATCCGGACTAGAACCCATTGTGCATATCACTGTCCTAAGATAAAATCAAACTGATTCTTGTTTTTCTCCATTAATCCCAGCATTTATCAGAACACACCCTAATGATTTTCTAACACCAACTATTTCATATGGTACAACACCATCCAGGACCAGTCAGGCTGAAATACAACACAAACAAGGTGCACTTGGAAGGCTCAAATGTGCCCTGTTTAACTCTGAATTTTGAGGGCTCCCTGGAGATGCAGTTATCCTGAAAGGCACCTTTTTGCCATCAAAGCTCACTGCAAGTTGGGCACATATATGACAAAATCTCCAGAAACTGGAGACAGAGAAGTGACAATTATGCCTTATACAAAGGAACTTTTGGGCAAAAGAAGGAAATTGTTTGATTTAGTTAATTCAGGATGTATATGACCACCATACAGGTCATCTAGAGATTGCACTGAAGATGCATAAGGTATTTGAACCTTTTCTTGTGACAGAAAAATTCAAGTTTTAAGGTGGAGTGCCATCACCAGTCAATCCTACCAATGCCTTGCACTGTTATTTCTTCCCTTCCTCTTCGGGCTCTCGAACAGTAGTTACCATTACCATATAAAACGCACCAGTTGCACATCAGCTCTTAATTTCTTCTTTCTCTGCTGACCCAAAATATCCCAGTTCTTCACTTTCAGCTAACTTTCTTACACAAAAGCGAAGGAGCTGACAAAGACTATGAAAAGAACAAGCACGCATGTCAGTGGCAAAAATACAAACACTATGATGTGTCAGCCATGCAAGAACATGGACAGCCTGCCAAACTCTCACTGAACAGCCCTCACCTTCCTCTCCCCCCATTACATTTTTCAATACTCACCCCAAACCTTAGCTGTCACTCCATGCTCTTCCAATTCCCATGCAGTTTTCCCCAGCTACTAAGAAACTTACAACATCCACACTTCCAACATCTGATACGCAGTCAGCATCTGTTACACACAAGACCAATGCTGATACCTTGGGAATGCATGCCCATCATCTCAAAAACACAATGCCCAGAATCAAGAAAAGGGAACAAGAAATCTCAAAGGATGCTCCTTTCATATTCCAGTTCATATGAAGCATAGGGATGGTAACTTTTCCACTCTTCAACCTCGTGCCCTTATCCCATCAATGTCTACATTTCATGTACTACATCTTCTACACTTACACTCCCCTCTTTCAAGTCCTCCTTCCTCACTGCAGCTTAAACCTCCCTTTCTCTCAGTTCCAAAATGCCACTTGTTAACACTACTGTGTAACTCTTCACTTCTCCTCAGCTTCTGTGGAGGGGGTCTTAAGTCATACAGGTTGAAAAACTTCATTAAAACTTTACCAGAGCATGGTGACCCAATGAATCTGCTGTTGATTTTATTCTGATCACACTTAGCTCCATTGTTTGGAAAATATCAGCACAATCCCAGCTTTTATCTTTCTCTGATTTTGTAAATAGCCATTTTAAAAAATAAAAACAATCCATTCATATATCTTATACATTAACATCACTTTTAGATAAGAAGTAGTGCTGGCTGAACACCTCTTGGAGAGCAAAAACTTCAATGGAAAAATATTCACAGTATATATTCTGAGAATTAGCTACACTGTGCTTCAGTATGACAGATAATGCAAAATTCAGGTTAAAGAGTTGTATTAAATCATCTCATTTTGACTCATACAGTGAGAGCTGTTTCCTAGATAAAGTTTTTTCCCTAAACACAGTAGCATTCTTGTAAACAAACAACAAACCTACTGGGATTATCAATTCAGCACTAGCTAATTTACTGCAGCCTAATTTCTAGAATTCATCATTTTTTCAATCCTTCTCCCCGAAATTAGAATAGGCAAGAAAAAGATGAATGTGTAACGATTTGCTGCAGTGACTCCTGCAATTTGAGCCAGAAGGGTGCAAAATAACACTGTTTTTGACAAACACTATTATTTCAGTGTTAGTCTAAAGTGAGGTTTTGCTCGTTTGTTTGTTTTCTGAAGGACAAATGAGAAGCTGCGAAAACACTTCTGATTCAAATTTCTCCAAGTCTGAACCAACTCATTCAGCATCAGAAGTTTTGTGACAGCCCATTCACATTGCCACCCTACTGCAGACACAGCAAAAAGACAGACTGAGTGATGATAATGCCAATCTTACAAAGTCCCACTGCGGTATCCCTATTTACCATCGCCTTTGTTGTGACCGTGTCACTGTACATCAGGCTATGATGTAAAATGACAAGAATCATACTAAAAATCCATTAAAAAAAAAAAAAAAATTCCACCTGTATCTCATTGGCAAGACAAATTGCAAGGCTACTCCCTCAACTATTTATAGGGCTAAGATAATAGTGAACAATACCTAAAAGTAAATGGCCAGAGGCAAGCTGTTCAGCCCAGCTTAACTGTCAAACACAGTATTATCTTTCCATACCTTCAGGATGGGTTACTCCAGCACCTACAAACAGCTGACTTTTAACTCCACCACAGTCACCTGCCATCTCTTCCATACATGCAGTTCCAAGGAAACTCATAAGAACAACCACCACGATCACAAAGGGCAGTCCCACTCTCTCAGGGTCCTACCATGCAGTGAATCAATCACAGCAGACAACAGATGCTGGCTGAATTAACTTTCAGCCAAATCAGTCTCTTGAAGCAACTCACTTCTGCAACTTCACAAACACAAGTATGAGCACAGATATACTGCAAAGCAAAAGGAAAACATGAGCACATCCTTCCTTTTAATTGTACATATGCCAGGTTAAGTGATCAGGAAACCTAAAACATCACAAAAAAGGAAAGACAAAAGTCTCTTCTTTCAGAGCAACACGAGCACACAGCAAAGCTATGACTTACCAAGACAGCAGCTATTGGACAAGTGCTGCACCAAGGGTAACAGACAGCCTGAGTGAGTGAATGCCACTTGCAAAAAACAAGGTGCAACCATCAGCACCCAAGGTGGTGTCATTTCAGCTGCAACATCACAGCTTCACATATCCACGTCAGATTTTGCGTGGGTTGAGTAAGAAGAGTGGCACACCTGGTGGTGCAGCCCCAGCCTCAAAAAACAGTGCCCATCTCAAGATCAGTAGCTACAGCAGAGCCTCCTTTGTACATCAGTGACAGCAGAAAGCGCTCTGACAAAACACTCACTCAACACCTTACCAAGAAAGTTACCTTCCCATCAATAAAAGCTTTACACAATAACACAGCACTGTGACAGCTGGATGAAACAGACCAGCTGCATCCCTTCCCTTAGTAAACACATCATCTTCCAGACTTAGCTGAAACGGCTTGGGCCGTTAAAAGAGAAATATAACGGGAAAAAAAAAAAAAAACCAACAACAAACATTCTTTAAAACTTAGATAACCGATCTCCCCGCGGAGCTCCTCAGGACGCGGGGGGACCCGCTCCCCTCCCGGCCCAGGACGGGGTGAGGCCCTGCCCCGCGGCCCTGCGGCCGTGCCGGGATCGGGTACCGAGGCCTGACAGCCGCCCCCCGCCCGCAGCCCGCCCGCAGCCCGGCGGCGGTTACCCGGCTGCCGCCGTCTCCGTGCTCGCTCCCCCGGCGGCCCCGCGTTCCGCCGGACCCCGTTCCTCCCGGCGGCGACGGCGGCCTCCGGCTGCGATGCGGCGACGGGGAGCGGCGGGAGGCGCCGCGGTGGCCCGACGGAGAGCGGTGGCGGCGAGGCGGCGAAGCGCCGGTGGAGGCGGCGGTAGGGGACGGCGGCGGGGGAGGCCGGCCGCGGCCCGGCCCCGGCCCCGATGTGCTGGAGCGGGAGGCGCGGGACCCCGCCGAGCCGCTCTCTTTGAGCCGGTGAGAGTACGAGGAGGACGACGGGCCGGAGCGGCCGCTGCCAGAGCGGTACATGATGGCGGCGGCGGCCCGGGGGGTCCCGGCGGCCTGCGCGGGCGCCCCGACTCCTTCTGACCCGGCCCCCCCACCTCGCGGGTTCCCCCCCGTCCCCCGTGCGTGCGCGCCGCCGTTCACTCTGCGCGCGCTCCCGAGCCGCCCCCCCCCTTCCCCCCCCTCCAGTCGCGCGGGCACGGAGAGGGGGGGCGGGATGAGCGCGGCAGGGGGCGGGGGACAAGAGGCGGGACTCCGAGGACGCCCGCACAAAATGGCGGCCGCCAGCCGGCGGTCACGTGCGCCTCGCGGTGAGGCGGGTAGCGCAAGGTCGGGGGGCTGGTGCCGGGTATTTGTGTCGTGAGTTTACCTACGTCTGTGGGGTGACAGCGATGGGATGAGAGATAACGGCTTCAAGTTGCACCCGGGCCCAGGTTGGGTATGAGGAGAAATTTCTTCTCAGGAAGAGCGATGATGTCCTGCGACAGGCAGCAGCTAAGCAGAACGCGGGGTCTGTTGTGGGTGCAGGTCTGTCTGGCGGTCCCGTGCGTTTCTGCTGGCAGCCGGTCGGCGCAGCTGTATGCGCAGCTAACTCCCCTGCCTCGGGGTTTTCCCAGCGAGTGAGCAGCGCACGGGCTCGGTGTTGCTGCAGATAAAAACAGACTTTCCTCCTGAGCAGTAGTTTAAGATTGCTTGGTGCCATGAGGTAAATAAAAGGGTTGGATTTTAACGAAACTTCATCGTTAGCGACTTTGAAGATTAATAAAGAGAGTTAGTGAAATATGTGATAACTAAACAGTGACTTGATGATGGATGTGTGGATGACAAGATTCACACTAAATAACAGGGCCTCTTAAAGTATGTGTGTGCACAGGGGCAAAGCATGCTCTTACAGATGCAATGAAATATGTGGCTGTGAAATATCTCAGCACCCATGCTTGTGAAACAAATGTCTCATTAAAACATATATAAGAAATGAGGTGGCTGGAAGAAGAATGAGTTTAGCTTATAGTTAAAACTTCCTTCTACTCAAAGTTAGAGCAGATACTTGCAATATGCTGTTTTTCTCCTCCAGGTACTAATTGAGGCTGGCTACAGCAGGATGACTTCATGCTGGTATCCATCCATGGATGGCCTTGAGGATCTGGAGGACCTGAGAGGTGCCCCAACCCAGTGGAGATGCTGGTCACAGCTTCTTGTGATCCAGAAGAGTACCAAGGGTTTCACTTACCTTGGAAGCATAAGTAGTTATTTTAATTGACTCTTGTCAGGTACTTTTCCATGCCAGTCCCCTTGGATGGCAAAAATATTCTGGTACTTCTCACCAGTTATGCAACCCCAGAGCTTGTTGGATTCATGAATTCTGTGCTACCTGCCTGAGGCTGTGATCCAGGTACAGATGGACTGGGCTGCCAGGAGATGATCCATCCCAGGTGATGGGAGGAAAAGCAAGTGCCTGGATATAGTAAGGGGATGCCTTTACACTGTCATCTGCTGCTTATTGCAATTTACAGGATGGCAGGGGCCAGGCACAAGGAATACCTTCATGTGCTGGTCCTCTATCTTTCACACTTTATGTCAAGATTGGCTTCCTGTGTAAGGAAAGGAATTGTACCAAGCATGGTGAATTGCACCTAATATAAAGGTGGGGGGCAGTTGAACCACCACACTCAGGAAATATGCTCAGTTAATGCCAATCATTAAAGGAAGCGGAAACTACTACTTTGCATTAGTGTTGTTTGCTCCTTTCCTTCTTTCCTATGGTTGATAATGTTTAATTTGTGACCTTAATTGGATTACAGGTGTCTTGAGATATAGATTTCTTTGAAGATTCCCAGTGTAATGCAAGTCTGCCTCCTGTGCAAGGAGGGTATAATGGTAGTGGAGGTAATTAATGCTGAACTTTTTCCAGCTGAGTACCCTAAGTAGCAGACATCATAACACTTGAAGAGACACAAGGTTGTGCTTCTTGGTAACTACAAAGCTGATGTATATTTGGAGATCTCTTCTGTTGGGATGACACAATATAAAATTTGTTACTTACTATAAGGAGTATACTGTTATTTCAGATACATTCTGATTCTTCATTGAAAGAAATAGCAAGCCTTCTTGCCTCAGTGTTGAGTATCTGTGTCAAACATTCAGTTACATTGACTGAAATAGTAAAAACAGCTAAAAAAGAAAAAAGGAAGAAAACGTCCAAAACCAAGTAAGTACATCTTTTCTATACTGTTGCTTTCTTTACATCAGTTTCAAAAAAAAAAAAAAAAAAAAATTCCTTTGAAGTTTGGTTTCAAAACAAAGATAAATAAACAACCGAGAAACCCAGTACATTATTTTTGTTTTTATCTGGGTTTTACATAATTTTACACATCCAATATTTAATAAACTTTAATTCTAAAACATTAAAATGTTTCCTAACTTCCTTTTGACCTTGTATCCAGAAAAGCTCTAAAGAGAGTGACCTGGTAGTTTATAGTGGTAGATTTAAATGCTGTTTGGAACTTGAAGGAATCCAGATGCCACAAACCGGTCAGGAATTTCACTAAAACTTCAAGTAGCGAGTAAACTGCTTAAGAGAAGAATGGAGGGAAGGGGAGAAAAGCAAACAGCATATTCACTATGGCATTAAAAACAAGTTCAGATGAGAAAAATCCATTGATTGGAGGGTAATGCATGACTTGTGCTTAATAACGTTCTGTAGCACCCTCTTATTTTACTGAATGTAACCTTACACCTTCTGAACTCATTCTGTATTTACTGCAGTGTCAGTTTACAGTCATGTGCCTTAGTGAAGCAAGTTATTAGGGAGACTGAGCACCCATGGTAGGAATCAGTTAAATTAAGATTAGTGCGGAAGTTTGGGTCAAGTGGTGCAGAGGAAACTTGAAGTTCTCATCTCTTTGCAAGAGAAATTATTCAGGGTCAAAAGTTGAGCAGAGTTGATCTGCTTCGCAGAGGTTTGTAGTACTCTGTCACAAATGGTCCAGACTCATACTGGACAAAGAAGGTACTAGTCACTCTGCTCTGCTACCAGTTCAGCTCCCAAACTGCTGTTTGGAATCACAGAACTCATCTTGGTTAGAGGAACTTGCAATTAGCTGTTGCTTGGAGAGATGCTAGCTAATTGGATGCTGAGGGCAAAGTTGAGGTAATAAGGTGTCTGAATTCTTGTGAAGCCTCAAAGTCACAGGAGCAAATTGCATTGAGTAGCAAAAGAACAGAGTAAGAAAAGTCAGCAGTAGCAGTGTATGAATGAGTAAACAAATCAGAACTGATGTTAATTCAGATTGGGCCGCAAGTAAAAAACAATGTAGAGAAAGACATATCTTAATTACTGTTTTTTGCCTTCATTTGTTTTAGCTGAGAAAGATACAGGTCTGTGAGGCCTAATACAGCACTTCCTCTAATGTTAAAATGCTGGATTACTAGTAAGAAAAGAGGCAATTCTATGAGTGTTTCCTTGTGAGAAATTGTAGTGGATAATATTACTCTGTCTTTTGAACTTTGCATTAATTTTTCCCTTGGAAAGCAGCGTGAAATAGGTTTATTCTATCTTCGTGTCCAGGTGAAGTAACCCATTCCTGAAAGATTTTGGTCTGAACCAAGTAATCAAGTCAACGTATGTCATGGGGTTTGAAGATGGTTCAACTGATACGGAAGTCCTGGCTGCAAGCACAGGAAAAGCATCCAAACAGATGATTGTTTTCAGAGATTTTACATCTATAATCACAAGTTTGGTATTTCTGAATTTAAGGCTTGTCTAGACTGCTTTCTGTTTCAGTTCAGTATTTACTTTTAGCTGGGTAGTGGAATATGCATGGAGCCTACTTTCCTTCTCTGACTCCAAGTCCTGGGAAAGGTTAATAATGTGTTAAATAATCTGTTACAAAATAAACTCATAAGAAAAGGTGTGGGGACAGTGTCTATTTGCTAAATTATTTTTCTTCACTGTAGATAATTCAATCTAGATGGTTGGAAAAACTCTGACTAATATACAGTTAATAAAATCTGGACTATGTTGGCCTGTGGGAGGGTTATTAAACCTGACTTTTTTGTTTGAATGCTGTGGTTATTTGATATATGTCAGGTGTATCTCTATAGAGCACAAAGTACTTGTAAGCAGTACACCCACAGGCCTATATTCCACATGGCATATATTTTAAACAAGTGAAACACAAAGCAGTAAATGTCACAGACAGCAGTACTCGGGAAGGTGAAATAGCTGAAAGGAAGCATAAAAAGGAGGAATGTTTAGATTCTGGTTTTGCTCCTACTTAAATGTGCTTAGGCAGAGCAGGTATCAGTGATTTCAGATTAGTTGGGGTGGATTAGTATTCTCAAAGGCATCTGAAAGCTGATCGTCTTTCAGACCAGGTGGAAAAGTTCAAGTGTGATCCTTTCTCCTGGTATCTGAGGACTTCTTTGGTGTCTTACAAAGTTGGGGAGCTTTTGTTATTATTTATTTTTTCATTTGGAATGTAAATAAGATGTTTGAACTGTGAAATCTGAAAGCTTCACTTGCGTGCAGCTCGTGCTTCAGCCTCTTGTGTCTCTATTTGCTGTCTTGAGAATTTGTTTATTTCATTTTTTGAAGGGAAGCTTCCTTGGGTGCAGAGGATGTAAACTAATTATCAAGGCCTCTACAGGAAAGTTTATTCTAGGAACCTGTGAATGGCCTTTGGGAGGAAGCACAATCTGACCAAAGGCACCTAATTAGTACAGATCAATAGCTTGCTTGGACATGAAAAGGCAGCCTTACAACTCTGATACTTTAAGGACCTTAAGAAATAAGAATCCTCAAAGACAAAAATTAAACGATGTTATACAGACACTTAGGAAAATGGTGCTATGCCAAGAAGTTGATCTGTACCAGAGCAGAAATTTTTGTCCCTCTTTGAATTTGTATATTCAAAGGCAATAAGGGCTCTCAGTAATGAATAGCAGAGTGAATGTCGCCTTGTGCTGCTTTATACGACAGTCTTCATTCCAGTTAAGTCTCTGCATCTGTGAGCAGGAGCAGTATGTCAGCTCTGACTTCAGTCTCCATGCAGAAGGCAGTTTTCTGATGCGATGGATACAGAGACCAGAGGGTACTGAAATCTGCAGAGAGGACAGAGAATGAGTAGAAAAGAAAAAGGAAAAAATAAATCTTTTCTCACATGGCAAGAAGAAGATCAGAGAACAGAGTGGCATGGAAGGAGTTCCTGAACTTGTGTGGGATTCCTGTAGGAATGGCAGACACCCAGATAGGTCTTCTCATGCTTTGTCCTCCTTCATAAACCCACAGCAGAAATCCTTGTGGTGGTGCCAACTGCTACGTCTTTGTCTCCTCCTTCTTTCCAGGAAACTATCATTAGAGGGTACTGTGGACTCCAAGTGCGTGCTCTTATCTCTGCTGCCTCGCTCTTCTGGCCGGATTGCTCTGTGTTCCCAGGCAGGAATGTCTCTGGCATTCTGCTTCCTCAGCACCCCGCTGATAACGCTTGTAAGCTCAGAGAACGCTTTATTGCCTTTCCGAAGAGCTGTGTGTTGAAAGTAAAATTGGTTACTGGTGATGAATTACTGTAAAAGATGCGCTAATTTTCCCTGGTAAGAGAAACTACTGAGGGGCGGTTTGGAGAAATTGAGTATCTTGGGCACCTGCTGGGAAGCCAGCAGTAGCAGCGTGTCCTCCCGACCGCAAGGGGGCGCGTGAGCCCCCCCCTTCCCTCTCTCTTCCACGTGGGCATCACGGAGGCGGGGGAGGGCCGGGCCTTGCCGAGGTACGGCGGGGGGCAGGGGTCAAAGTTGGGCTTGCGGCCGCAGCGCGTCGCTATGCCGGCCCCTCGGGGGGGCTGCCTGCCTCGGGGCGGTGTTGGTGCAGGCCGGGGGAGGCCCGGAGGACCCGGCGCTCGGCTGGGTTTGGTCGGACGGTGTAAGGCACGAAACGCCCTGCGTGTGCTTCAGTCTGCAAAGCAGAGCCCGGAGCCCCAAATTCTGCCGGTTTCCCAGCCCGCCGGCACGCTGGTGTGAGCTGGAGGGTGCGTGGCGTTACGTGCTGCTTTAAGGAGCACTTCTGTCCGCGCCCCTTCGAGGATGTGTAGAAGTAAAACTGGTACGTGGTAGTTTAAGCAGCTCAAGATATTTTCAGGCGGGATACAAGCGTGCCAATGCTTCCTGATGTTAGTTTGGCAGGATGAGCTGGCCGAGCAAGCGCTCGACCTGGCAGTGCAGCAGGTACAGCGTTCCCAGAGCAGTGAGGTGGTGGGGTGGCTGCAGGAGGCAGCGTAGCTCCATCAGGAGGCTGGTGGTTTGCAGGGCAGCTGATAAGACACCAGGTGTGCAATAGCCCTGGACTGCCCGACCCAGGAAGCTGTTTCTGGTCCTATGTTCATTCCTTATCACAGTCCACCCTGAGCGGGGCTGTGCTCGTCCCGTGCCTCATGCTGTTTGCTCTTTTCAACCTCAGGAGCTCCGTCTCTCGTGTTCAGCTCCCTCTGAAGGATGGAAAACATCCTGGCTAGTTTGTGTGGGACCAGCCCAGAAGATCCGCTCCCTGTGTGGGTTCATGGCAGAGTTGGCCACTGCTTCAATCAGCTGGCATTGAACGTGGTTCCTCATGTGATCCTTGCTGCGGTCAGCGCCTGCTTCCTTGGCACTCCAAGGTATGACAACTCACTTGTCTGGCACTTGATTATTAGGCAGGACTGGAGGCAGGATAGAAGGGTTGAAAATTAGTTCTCCTGTAATGTACCACGTATGTCATTAGAGAAAGACACAATGTTATAATGCCATTACATTTGTCAGTATCTGTCCTAATTCCGAGTACTGTGTTCAGCTCTGATCGCTCCTTTGCAGAAGGGTATCCAGAAAGAGCAGAGGGTACTGAGAATAAAATAGAAGAGAATAAGTGAAAAGAATTTCAGTGAATGAGGGTTGAGAAAACTGGAAGTTTTCTTTACAGGGATTTAAATACAAGGTGGTATGGAAGATGTATGTGAGGTAATAAAGAGTTCAGCTAAATCAAAAATAGTTTTCCTGTTTACTGTCATCTTGAATTTGTAAGCATGACACTGTTCACTGATACTGAAAGGCCCCAAATAATAATGAAATCTTATGCTGAGCAACTGAGATTGGACTTTACTTAGGCAGCATTATTGAAAGCAGAAGTGAGAAGATAATCGTTCTGGAGAAAATATCACAAATATGAGGAAATCTAGGTTTAGAAATGTGACACAGAACTTGATCATCCAAAGGCTAAATATACTTTTCTGTTAATCCTCAAGGACTGGAGCCTCACTTGACCACAAAATATCACAGTTTGCAAACAAATTTCTGTAGAGAAAGGTTATTTTCTATAGCATCTGAATCTCTGGTATTGATCAGATATTGGTTTTTATTGACCTGATCTAGTTTAACAATGTCTGCAGTCTAAGTTAGATGTCAAAGGAACCGAATACAAGGGAGGTGAAGTAGGAATGAATGGATGAAGGAAGGATGAGCAGAGGAAGAAAGGTGAGTGCTGACTGTGAAGATTTTATCTGCTCTTTCTTCCTCTAGATCTGGCTCTGGGATGTCTCACAGGCGAGGCTGGAGATGCAGAATTGCCATGTCATTTGTACTTGCTGGCTTACTCCTTGCTGATATAATCCCAGCCACCATTTCTCAGCAGGAGCTGGGCCCTGTATACCTGGAAGTGTTAGCCAGTGGCATTGCTGCACTGACGTGGCTCACTCATGGTCTCGCACTCATCATGCTCTGCAGGTCCATTCACGGCTCCACTAGAGGCCCTGCAGCCCTGGCTCTCCTCACTCTCTTACCACTGCCTTCCCTCCTCATCACACTGGTGTGGTATTGCCAAAGTGGGACAGCTTGGTCTCCTGCCCACCCTGCTGTCTCCTCCAGGTTCACCATTCTCTGTCTGAAGCTGGCCTCTCTGCTGACTTATGTGATTAGCTATCTCTTACCTGCTGCTGATAGGCATGAATTCCTCTCCATCAACAGCTTCTGGCAGCAGGATCAGCTCGTCTCAGAGCCAGGGATCTCAGTGTCAGATCAGCAGGGAGTGGCAGAAGATGGTGAGAGCTGGCTCTCACGCTTCTTTTATGCTTGGATGAACCCTCTTATGAAACGTGGCTATCAGTGGAAGCTGAACCAACCACAAGATGTCTGTCTGCTTCCTCGAAAACTTCAGGCTGCCAGGGTCTGTGATCAGTTCTATGCCTGCTGGCAGAAGAAAGCAGCAGTGCACCAAGTAGAGGAGGAGACGGTGTCTCTTACTAGCCCAATCATTGCTGGAGATGATGGCAGTGGCAGTGTCCTGGACAGGTCACACCATACTCAGGAGGCCGTGCGACTCCTTTCAGTGCTTCATGCAGCATTTGGGCTTCGTTTCTATTCCCTGGGACTTCTCAAGCTGGCTGGTAGCCTGCTCGGCTTCTCAGGCCCTCTGCTTCTGAACCTGCTGGTGAACTTCATGGAGTCACGGCAGGAGCCTTTGAGCCACGGAGTGCTCTATGCTCTTGGGCTGTTTGCTGGCTCCTTCGTGGGTGCGCTTTTACGGAACCAGTTCAGCTACGAGGTGCAGAAGGTGATGCTGATGGTGCGAGCTGCTGTCATCTCTGCCATTTACCGCAAGGCTCTACGTGTTGGCAGCACCAGCCTTTCCCGCTTCACTGTGGGTGAAATCGTCAACTTCATGAGCACAGACACCAGTAGGTTGATCAACTTCTGTCTCAGCTTCCACGAGGTGTGGAGCCTGCCCTTCCAGTTTGCCATTACGCTCTATCTTCTCTACCAGCAAGTGGGTGTAGCCTTTCTGGGAGGCCTGGCTCTGGCACTACTGCTTGTGCCCATCAACAAGGTCATAGCCAACCGCATCATGATGAGCAACACAGAGATGCTGAAGCACAAGGATACACGGGTCAAGGTGAGGGGAAGCTGCTGGCTCTATGAGTTTGTTGTTGTGTTTTCTCCCCATTTGTCCCTGGAACATTGGCTTTTTAGCTACTTGCTGTGAATTTCAAGAGGCTGTACTGAATAATCAGTGTTGGGAAAAGTGGGAAAAGGGGTTCAGAAGTGTTTCAGTGTAAAGTACATTCCCCACCTGCAAAATAGTGAATCTCTAATGCTTGTTTTGCCCTCTGGGCAAACTGAAGTTCCTTTGCAAGGTTTGCTTCCTTTAGAGATGCTTCCATCCCATTACTTCAGAAATGCTGTGGTTGAGGTATCTTGCACAGTCTGGACAAATGCATTGATTGTGGATTGGTGGTTTTATTTCATTCTAGCTTGGCACCCTCAGTCAGCTTTTCCACAGCTGTTTGGAACTACTGAAATATTTATCTTCCTGACAGAAGATGCATGTAGTAGTACAGGATGTGTTGGACATCTTCCAGGTGTTTCAAGATGAATTTGCTAGGCATCTTTCTTGTTGCAATTCTTTCATGTCAGGCACAGGCATATTTCAGCTTGCTCTGTGCATGCTGATGTGAGAGCAAGAGTGAGAAAGAAACATGTTGCAGGGATACCTGAGCTGCTGGATGTGAGCCTGCTTGGCTTTGGACGCAGGCTAACTGGGAAGCTGTATAGTATTTTGCCTTTTCGTGAGCCTTTCAGGCACAGGTAGCTGAGCAAGCTGGTGAAATGAATGAGAGCAAAGTTCTCAGCAGCTGCCACTTGAGTTTATATTTCTGTTAGCAATAAATGGTTCCTGGTATCTGTAGCCTGGCCCTTAAGCAGGAGTCAAATGCAAACCTGAGCACAGCCCAGATGCCTAACTGGCATTTGGTGTGTTAAGCAGATACTCTGTGCTTTTTCTCTATGCCTGCAGCTAATGACAGAGTTTCTCAGTGGCATCCGTGTTATCAAGTTTTATGCCTGGGAGAAGCACTTCAGCACCAGGATAAATGCCTGCCGAGCTAAAGAGCTGCAGAAGTTGCGAGCCATCAAGTACTTGGATGCTGTGTGTGTTTATCTGTGGGCAGCACTGCCAGTTGTTGTCTCCATTGTCATCTTCATCACCTATGTCCTGATGGGTCACCAACTCACTGCCACAAAGGTGAGTGAAGGAGGAGATCCCAAGTGACAGCACTGCTCACTGTAGGTAGTAGAGCTCCAAATTTATCTCTTGCAGAGGACAATCTGCAGTGGGACTGCATCCCTGAAGCATCTTTTCTAGGAAATGCTATCACCCTGTGTCTCTCCATAGCCTTTTGGGCTCTCACTCTTGAAGCCATTTGGAGAATACAAGATGCAGAGGAGATGCTGCCTTTGGTTCATGGTTGTTTCCTTACCCACACAGGTGTTCACAGCACTGGCCCTTGTGGGGATGCTCATTCTCCCCCTCAACAGCTTCCCATGGGTGTTGAATGGGACTTTGGAAGCCAAAGTTTCCCTGGATCGAATTCAGCGTTTCCTTGAACTCATGGACCAGGATTTGGAAGCTTATTATGCCCTAGGTAATGGCAAAGGATGCTGGTAGGGCTGGGGCCCTGGGCAGGAGACAATTGGAACGGAGAGCTGAGGTGTGAAAGGCAGCACTGGAGGGCAGCCATCTGTTGCACCACGACTCAAGTTGTCAGAGTACAGGCACTTCATTTCTGTAAAAACAGAATACAAGGCTACAGCATTTTTCTTTACCAAACATAGGCCATTGCTTTTCCTCAAAGAATCCCACCGCTAGTGTGCCTTTAAAAGAAGTTGCTCCCTCCTCCATCCAAAGTCTTCTGATAATGAAGCCATCAAAAAACCCAATTTTGCCTTAGCAAGAAGGCACGAGTCCCCTGTCCTGAGTCATCACTGCTTCGTTTTTCTCCTTCCTTGCTTTATGCTAGCTCCCTGCCATTCTTTCACCTTCAACAATAAAACCAGATTATCCTCACAGTGTCTCACTGAGAGCCAGCAGGTCAGCCTGTGTGTCCACTGGGAGTTGGAGAATGGAGGATTGGAGAAAATGAGGTGTAAGTTTAAGGACAAGTCAGTAGGCAAGTGTCTTTCTTATTCTGGGATTGGGTTCAGGGCATCCTGGCCATGCTGTTTCTGCCTATTGCATTTGGGAGCAAAGCTGACAGTATTCATGATGCCGGGTTCTTGTCGCCCTGTGGCATTCTCACTGTAGTGCTGCTTCTTCCTTGCAGGTAGCCCTTCAGGAACAGCTTCTGCCATAGATATAAGAGGTGCAGATTTTTCATGGGTGCCAGTCATAGAAGAAAGCACCAGCCAGCCCTTATCTACTGGCAGTCTGCAACTGCACATTGAGAACCTCTCAGTGAGAAAGGTGAGCAGGAATGCAGGAGGAAACAAAGAGTGGCACGTTTTCCTGGTTTATGAGCTATATGTGAAGATTTTCTCTCGGCCCAGTTGTACAGGACACATATAATGTCTCTCAGAGTTGAGATGGACTGGAGGAGGTCCATGCTGTGTATTAGCATATAAGGTTGGTCCTTTTCATTTCCCTTTACAGGGAATGCTTCTGGGAGTTGTTGGGAAGGTTGGCTCTGGCAAGAGCTCTCTGCTTGCAGCTATCACTGGAGAGCTCATTAAGTAAGTAATATTAAGACTTCTTGCCTGGTTCTTCCACACCGTGGCAGGAGGGGACCATTGACTGCTACTCCTATTTTTTGGTCATTTTGATCTACCGACAGTTTACCTTTCTTGTCTTTCTGCCTACCTCTGGTATGCTTGCAGACAAGGTGGGCAAGTATATATTTGTGACCTGGAGCAAGGATTTGGCCTGGCCACACAAGAGCCTTGGATCCAATTTACCACTGTCCGTGAGAACATCCTTTTTGGACGACAATATGATGCCAGGCTGTATGAGGAGGTGGTGGAGGCCTGTGCCCTCTCTGAGGACCTGAATGTGAGTGGCTGAACTGTAAAACTTCTTGGGCTTCCTCAGCCATACATTCTGCCTGATATTCCCTGGGAGGAGTTCTCATTCTTGCAGGCTTTAACCTGCTTTTCCGGTGTCACAGTCACTCAGCTGTACTATGATTAACAGTCTGAGACTATACTCAGCACCAGTTTCCTTTAAGGTGCGAGATCACTCCGTTAGCACTTCAGATGGTTTCCTTGGTGCTAAGCCAAAAGCTCTTGATTCTGATAAAAGATATTCCATCAGAGCATTGACTGCCAGGTTTTTCAATCAGAATGTATCAGCAGCTGATGCTTTTTTGGATCAGAGAGGCTGAGTCCTTCCATCAGTAATGCATGTATTAGATGTTTGAAGCTTGTGGCTGTGTTAGCCAATAAACTTGCTGTTAGACCTGGTGAGAAGCTAGCCTCTTCCTCTGAGTTTATAACCTAGACTGTGAATTTCTGAAGTGCCAAGTACTAGAAGCTCCTATTTGCTTCAGCAGAAGCTGTGAGTACTGTGCAAGGGCAAAGTATTTATTTGAGAAGTGGTAGCCTGTGCCTATGGGAAGTGTTTCTGGCTGATGAAATTCAGTGTTCTTTCTTGCTAAGCTGGGAACGGGCCCTGGCATTATTTTGTTGTACGCACAGCTACTGCTTTTCCAGATAAACCTTGGGCACAGTTCTGGAGTTATCACAGACCAGAAGTTGCTCAGTGGGTAATTTATATGTGGCCACTTATTCTGGAATATAAGAGAGTCTAGTGGGATAAAGCTTGCCAAGCTTGCCAGTTGTCTGCAGAACCAGTGTATGTACTGTTGCATTGTTTCATTGTTTTGTAAGTTATCACCCAAAAAGTTACTGACAGAGTCAGGAGAGGGATCTCAGTGTTCTCATCTTTAGTCCACAGTGGTTTCTTATCCCTTTTAAATGGATTTCCTTGAATGTTTCAGATCTTACCTGCAGGTGACCAGACAGAGGTGGGTGAAAATGGTGTGACACTCAGTGGGGGTCAGAAGGCTCGAATAGCCCTTGCCAGGGCTGTTTACCAGGTAAATCACAAAGCAGTTCTGCTGTGCCTTGTGCCAAGTTGATTGTAAAGAGTTGGAAGCATGCAGATGTACAGTGTGCTCTGGCTGCACGCCTTAAACCACTCTGTGCTGGCCTAAAGTTGCTGGCAGTGTGCCATGTGCCATGCTGAGGCACTTCTCTCCAGCATTGCATGCTCAGGCAGACCCAGGGGCTGTATCCTTGTCTCTTGTCTTTTTTTTCAGGAAAAAGAACTTTACCTAATTGATGATCCCCTGGCTGCAGTTGATGCAGATGTAGCTAATCATCTTATGCAGAAATGCATTCTTGGAATTCTCCAACACAAGACCAGAATCCTTTGCACCCATAGGACAGAATTTTTGGAGAAGGCTGATGCCTTGTTGTTGATGGACAATGGCAGGATAATCAAGACAGGTACAGCAGCTGCCTTCACAGGCATCCATTTGTGCCACTTTGGAGTGGCTTGAGCAAAGATGGCCATTAGGGAGTAGGAGTAACTAGTGAGGAACACAAGTAAGGAGAAAGAGTCTGAGGACACTGCAGGTGGGCAAAGAAGATTGTGTGGAAGGGAGCATACAGATTCACAGATGTAGACATAGAAAACTGATAACACAGAAGGCCATGGCAGGGATAGAAGGAGAAGAACTTTAAAGAAAGCAGTTGCTGTGGGAGAAAATAGGGAATGTCATGAGAACAAACCTGGTCCATTTCATAGCAATAATCAGGAAGAATCATCTATTTATCTCAGGCTCTGAAACATGTGCACGTCTTTCTTTGCAGGCCCACCAGCTGATATCCTGCCTCTTGTGGAATCTGTCCCCAAATTCAAGGATATGAACAAGAGGCAGAATGATAAAGGTCTGCACCTGGCAAGCTTGGGGGTGGCTGGGACAGTATGGGTTATCCGAGCATCCAGAGAGAACCTACACCTGATGGCTTTTGGCCTTGAAGCAGAGCTCTCACTACTTATGGCAGAGCTGATCTATGGGTATTGTGTTCAAAGGGGAAGAGAAGGCCTTCAGCCATTGGTCTGGAACAGTGTTTGAATCTGCTTTTCCATTCGTGGTTCAGATCTGGATATGAATCTTCCAGCGTTGCCCCCAAAAGGGCAGAGAGGAGGGAATAAGTTTTCCTCATAGCCTTAACTTGCTCTGTTGACATCAAGGAGCAGCTGCAGGAGATACCAATGTCACACTGACTTTTGTGTTTGCATCTTTCCCAACAGACTCTGATGAGCAGGGCCAGGAAGAACTTGTAGAGACAGAGGCAGAAGAATCATTGCAGGACAAATGTCTCCTTCACAAGGAGGAAGAGAAGAAAGAAGGGGCTCTGGATTTTCAGGTCTACAAGGCATATTGGTTGGCAATGGGCAGCTGCTTAGCATTATCTATCCTCCTCTCACTGCTCCTGATGCAAGGTGAGGCAATGACCCAAGAAAACATTCTTTTTTCCTGGCTGTGTGGAGTCCAGGGAAAGAAAATAGTAAGAGGTTTGATCATTCTCCCCACACCAAGAAGAACCCTTTTCCACAAACCAAAATAGTATGTCAGGAATGGGGGGGAGAATATGTGGGAAAAGGGAAAAGGATCTGTCCTCTCACTTGCTGCTGTAGTTGTGTGTCTGTTCCTTTAGCAGTTTCCTTTCACTGCTGCAGATCATGGCAGTTCACTTGCTCCTGCTCTATTAGTAACAATGCAGAATGAGGACAGGGAAGACTGGACAGGGCAGTGTGACAATAACTGAAATTACCCAGCAGCTTCCCTTCCAATTTTTCTGCTTTGTATTTGCTGACTTGAAGATTGAATCCTTTATGCAGTCTGTCTCTCTCTGTAGCATCCAGAAATATCTCAGATTGGTGGCTCTCACACTGGATCTCCAGCATATCCCAAACAGGAAATACGTCTGTGATGGTCTCTTCAGCTTCCCTGCCTTCCACAAAGCTGCTTCTCTTCTCCGTCATTGGGCTTGTGTAAGTGAATGCTGGGCAGGAGATGCTGAAGGAAACACACTCATTTACTCATTTTGCCCTTATGCATTTCCTATGAGTACCCTTCTTGAGATCATTTCATTGCAGGCAGGGGATCTGTAAGACTGCTTTGAGAAAGAAAGAATTGAAATCTCTGGCCAGACAGGGAATTTATGAGGTGTCTGTAGAGCCTGTAACCAGAGGCTGATGGAAGGCCTCTGGCTGCATAGTGGTCAGTATTTATCTCAGCAGGGCAAAAGAGGAGTATCAGGCTCAAGTATCCCAATTTTCCCTCGAGTCTGCTTTTCAGTTCTGATGCCCTGAGTTTAATTTTACTGCCATGGGGACCTTGGCAGATTCATAATCTTCCTCCTTCTCTATTCTAGCTCCCCAATTCAAGCTCTGGACACAGCCCCAGTCCCTTCCAATGTTTCAGTGGATGTGAATTTCTACCTGACAGTTTATGGGGGCATTGCAGGGGCCAACTCTCTCTTCACCATTTTTCGGGCCTTCCTATTCGCTTATGGCACTATCCGTGCTGCCATTGTCATTCACAAACGACTGCTCCAGAGAGTTATAAAGGTAATGGTCTGAAAATCCAGGGCAGGACAGAGTTCTTGCAAGTCATTCTGCACTGATGTTTTTTTAATAGTTTGGAGTAAGGGTGCAAGAAGTAGATTTCTGCTGTGTTTATCCGATGAACTGATTAGCTACCCCTGGCTGACTCTTGCTTTCTCAATCCTCTGCTGCCAGGCCACAGTCACCTTCTTTGACACCACACCAACAGGCCGGATCCTGAACCGCTTCTCCTCAGATCTGTACTGCGTGGATGACAGCTTGCCATTTATCCTTAACATTTTCTTGGCCAACATGTATGGGCTTTTGGGCATGCTGGTGATAATCACCTATGGTCTCCCTTGGATTGGCCTGGTCTTACTCCCTCTGGCTGCTCTCTACTTCTCCATCCAACGCTATTACCGGCGCACATCCCGGGAACTCAAGCGCCTTTACAGTGTCACCCTGTCTCCCATTTACACTCATTTCTCAGAGACTCTCTCAGGACTGAGCAGCATCAGAGCCATGCGGGCAACACAGAGGTGAGTGGAAGGAAAGAGCACCTAGAGAAGCAGAGTTCTGGCTTTATAGATCAGGGTCATCCTAACGTGGAGCTAGTTACATGGTGGTAGGAATACCCATGGTCTTGGGCAGTAGCAAAGAGGGCTGAGTGGTGCACAACCTGGTATGAACTTCTGTTGTGTTTCCACCAGGTTTGAGTTGGAGAATGAGCTGCGCCTAGAACAGAATCAGCGCTGCCTCTTTGCCAGCAACACAGCAATGCAGTGGCTGGACATTCGCTTGCAAATGATTGGGGTTGCTGTGATTACAGCTATTGCAGGAATTGCCATCATCCAGCACCAGAAGCAGATAGGAAATCCAGGTAGACTGTCGGGGTTTTTCTTTGCCTCCCTTAGACGGTGGCCCACGGATTCCTCTCAGCCCAGAGTTGCACTTCTCTGTATACCAGAATAATATCCAGATTTCCTGCTCCTTGTCACTCTGTTGCCCACAGTGTGATGCTTTGGCTCCTGTTGCTGCTTTTACACGTCCCCATCCAACAGTGAGATCCCAGACTCCAAAGTGCTAACTTCTCTCTTGTTTTGTGTTGTTTTTTCTTTGTCCTACCAAGATCCCAGCTCCTTCCCTGCCATTAACATCCTTGTTTATGCTTTTGTCCTCTCAGGACTTGTGGGCCTGGCACTGTCATATGCGCTGTCTGTTACAAACCTGCTCTCAGGCCTCATTTCCAGCTTCACTACAACCGAAACCATGATGGTGAGTGTGGAGCGGACAGAGGAATATACCACAGACATCCCCATGGAGCCCCAGGATAAACTGGTCCAGGTAAAATCTTAAGTATGTTTTCAGGAATTGGCGCATCTTCTGGCCCTGTGCCTTGTAGTTTCTTCCTGGGGGAGGTCAAAAGGTTCTAGTGAGTGGTTCGAAAGCACTCTCCCAGAGAATCTGCTTCAATCATTCATCCTTTACCAGTACACCTCCGGGAGGATAAACCTCAGGCAGAAGTTGAAGGCTAGAGTGATGAAAAAGGATGAAAAAGCAGAAGGGGGTGTTAGGGCTAAACTGTGAGAGGAAGAAAAATTGTAGAAGGAGACAGATCTGAGCTGCACCTTCAGTCTGTTCAAAAGCCAAGCAATCATCCAAAGGGATGTGTGAGTCTTGGCCTGTGTGGAGATGGGGCTGAAGATGACAGTCACATTCATCCTCTGTTTTCCTCTGGTGCTTCTCTTAGGTTGCTGCTGACTGGCCAAGCCAAGGGCTTGTGGAGTTCCAGCAAGTGATCCTGGCCTACCGAGCAGGCCTTCCCAATGCACTCGATGGAGTGAGCTTCACTGTGTACCCTGGAGAGAAGGTGGGGATTGTGGGTCGCACAGGATCTGGAAAATCCACCCTTTTCTTGGCACTGTTTCGCATGCTGGAGCTGAAAGCAGGCCGTATTCTCCTGGATGGTGTTGACAGCCAGCTGGTGGGCTTGGAGGAGCTGAGGTACAGAAGGCTGAGCAGAGCAGGGGCAACCCGGGGTGGGGGGGGGAGGTCTGGAAACTGACATCTGCCATCGGTTGGATACCAAAAGGAAGAGTCAGGAGGAAAGGGCTTACTCTCTTGTCTGTAGCAGTTTCTCTTAAGTACAGTACACCCTCTGTAGAACTGTACTAAGGAAACCAAGTTGAATATGTGACTTAAGCCCTATCTCTGTTCCTTTAAGATATGCAGCCAAGGCATGCCAGGGGAAAAAAAAAGAGGCCGTTGCTTTCCTGCAGAACCCACCCAATGTGCCTTCAGCTATCCTTTGCTTGCAGATCTAGACTGGCTATCATCCCCCAGGATCCATTTTTATTCAGTGGCTCAATCCGAGAGAATTTGGACCCTCAGGGAAAATGGACAGATGCTGAACTCCATGAAGTGCTAGAGCAGTGCCACCTGCGGGATGCTGTTACCCAGATGGGTGAGTCTGGAGCCAGCGTGGAGAGATTGGTGGGCCCTGCTACTGGGAGAGGAGAGAAAGCTTCCAGTCAGGAAGCTGAGGAAAAGGGATCAGGTAGATGTGGTAGGGAATTGGTTAGATGAGGCCCCACTAGCACCAGTGAGAAAAGGCTAGTGAGATCCCAGTGACATTCCCAGAGATTTAGTATCAAGAAACTGTCAGGTGGTGAATTGGATGGCAGAATCTTGCTGATCAGCCTAGGCACCAGTGGATGCTCAGGCAGAGCCTCAGAGAAATGCCATAGCCCTGGTTCCGGCAGCACATTTTGTGTCTCTGGCACATGTTGCTTGCATCCAAGCAGAAAGGCTTTGATTTCAAAGGCTTGGGACTGAGCAGGATTGGAATTTTGAGTGCTGCTGGGGAAAAAAAACAGACTGAGGGAGCTGTGTACACAGAGCGTGGTGTGGTAACTGCTCAGCTTGACCTCTGCAGGTGGATTGGACAGTGAGCTGGGAGAGAGAGGAAAGAGTCTATCTGTGGGTCAGAGACAGCTGGTGTGTCTGGCAAGAGCCCTTCTAACGCAGGCCAAGGTGAGTGCCTGCCTCCATCAAAGTGAAGAATGAGTTGCCGATGGCTGTGTTGGCGCAACAGGGCAGGGTGCTCCAGGAGTGGGGTGTGGTGGTGATGGATGACCTGTGCTACCTTGTCACACTGTCCCTTGACATAGACTGGGGTCTCCCCAGTGATGTTTGGGTGTCCCCAACACCTCTGTCCCTGACAGGTGTTGTGCATTGATGAGGCCACAGCCAGTGTGGATCAGAAGACAGACCAGCTGCTGCAGCAAACCATCCGCCAACGCTTTGCTGACAAAACTGTTTTGACAATTGCTCACAGGTATGGAGAAACCATCATTCCACGTGTAACTTTGTTTTGACACAGTGTTATGCCCTCAGAGGAAGCAGTGGCTGTGCCTGCCATGCCTGAAGGTTGAGCAGAACAAGGCGGTTAAAATGTTGTACCTAGAAACTGGGCAACAACAGTGGGAAATATTGTATGGCTGATGGCTCTCTTGGGCATTGCCTGCTGGGACCGGGGGTGAACTGGCCGTCTGGTTCTGCCTTATGGGGCAAGGAGCAGTGGAGAAATACCCTACACAAAAGCAGCAGTTAGACATATGAGTGAAGCAAGTGGCTCTGGCTCAGTAGAGGGCACTATAGGATAACCAGAGGTGAAGGGCTGCAGGCAGCTTCTGGCCTGGGGAGGTAGAGCACTTGGTAATTCTGTTTTCCAGACCTCTGAGTGTTGGTTCCAGCCTGCATCCGATCCTGACAGGCTAGACATTCCCCAGACAGTACACAGCAGCAGTGCTTGCTCCACAGCCAAGAGATCTAATGTAAGAGTCAAAGCAGTGACAGAGGAGTGCAAAACACAAATGCTGTGGATACTGAGAAGGGATGGGTTAGCAGTGGTCTCTGCCTTGAATGCTCCCACTGTTGCCAAGTGGAAGAGAATTTGGAGGAAGGTCATGCAGTAGTATGTAGGGTGTTCTAAGGGGAACTGCTTCCCAGCACTGGGTTTACCACAAAAATAAAAATCAGACAAGCAGGTGACAGGGGATGTTGTCAACTGGGAGTGGTAAATAGCAGGCAGGGTGGGCCAGACCTTGCAAGGGAATTGAGTGGGTCTTAAGTGGATAAGATAGGGAGGCGGGAGATGGGAATATGATTCCAACGCTAGGGAGATTATGCAGAGCTAGAGTAGAAAGGTAAGCACACTGTGGGCTGAGGTGTGTGTTTGGGGTGCAGTCAAGCTCTCTTTGATGAAAGAGCAATTACTGAGGAGAACCAGCAGAGGAGGGAGTGACAGAAGGTAAAGCATGGGTTGGAAATGGCCCTAGCCTCTTTTCCACTAGAATTGAAATAGGATAGAGCACTGAGGAGGGAGAGAGAATGATGGGATTCTGTACCTGTGGTTGTTCCACACCATTCAGTTTTGAGTGAGCCAGTAATTGGATGGGCAAACAGAAGCAACTCAATAACTCTGCTGTGAGGATAGAAACATCTTGTATTTCAGTGGTGGATAGAAACTGCCTAGTGAACTGGAGTGTAGCATGTCCCTGAGTGCATAAGGAGAGGCTCTGTGAATATTAGTGCTGGGCATGTCTTGAGCCAGTTCTTGACAGCAGGTGAAGCAGTGTGTGGAGTTCCTCCTCAGCTCCACTAATGTGTGTCCTGGTGTCTGCTGTCCACAGGCTGAACACCATCTTGGACTCAGACCGTGTGTTAGTGATGCAGGCTGGAAGAGTGGTGGAGCTGGACTCACCTGCCTGCCTAAGCAAAAAGGACGGCTCCTTGTTTCAGCGCCTGCTGCACAGTGGGCAGCAGTGACCTCCTTCTGGAGCTGAGGTCAGGCAGTACGTCTGTGTCTGCTTTTCCTCTTGCCTCAGCTGCCAGCCCCATCCCTGCAGGGCCAGGAACTGCTGAAGTGAGAGGAGGGGTCATTGCTTCCTGCTGACAGTGACTGTGTGTCTCAGGAATGGAAGCATGGCACTTTCCTATAGTAGGGAAAATGTGAACTGGTGCTTAGGGCAATTCGAGCCTGGCTGGTGGGGCACCGTTCCCTCCAAAGCTTCCCTTTGAGATTACAGAGGGTTTTTCTGCTCACTGAAGAATCAGTGACTCCATCTCACATATGCAATTTAAAATAAAATGGAAACATTCTTGTGAAGTTGTGTTATTTGGGTTCCTTTCCCCTTTGCCCTCCAGACACAGACTTGCTTGAGAGCAGCAGGAGTGGTGCCCTCTGCGTTAAGATAACCTTTCTTTCTTCCTAGAACATCCAGGGAACGTTGGCCTCTCCAAATACCCCAGAAGTTTGCAACCAGGGATCTTGCTGCTCTTTCTCTGGCTTGCAATGGAGACCTTCCTTCCGAAAGGCCAGAATGCAATGACATTAAAGGCCTTTAAGGCTAGTTTATTCCAATACCATTTTTCTTAGGGAAACTCCCTTTGACTCCTCCCCTGCTCCCAGCTGCACAAACACACGGCTTCTTTCAGTTGGAGAATCAGCTTGCTCTTCCCATCAGTGCCCTTGGATTTAGTCTTGGCTTTTCCTTGCTCTCCAGCACTCTGAGTCAGTGCCTTGCAGATATTACCCTGTCCTGAGGCAGGTCCCTACCCACTGCAGATAATGTCTCTCTTTCCTCAGTGACAGGTAAGGCTGGCCTCAAGCTAAGTAGCCTCTGATGTTTTGAGATGTTAAGATCAAGAAGGCCCTGAGATCTCTGAACTTCTCCCAGCAGGACAATGCCAGGGCAGCAAAGTTAAGGGCTTCCAGGCAACAAAAGGCTTGTGATGACTTTGGGCCAGAACATGGGGTAAAACAATCCATGTGCCACAATCTGGTTTTGCCCTTTTGAGGGCAGTGATGAAAATATAGATACTCACAACTGGACAGGACAAGTAGCTGAGCAACCTGATGCAATTGAATCTGCTGAGAGCAGGAGGTTGATGTACAGAAATGCCTTCAACCTAAATTATTTTATCATTCTCTGATACAGTTTCTGGACTTGTAATTGTTTTATTTGATAAAGGTACATTATCCATTCATGTATTTAAAAAAATAATCTTTTTGATGAGGCCCCAGTCCCCTCTCCCAGGTCTCTCTCCTGGCTGAGTGCTCAATCCTCTGGCCACTCTCTTTCTACGTGACCTCAAATCCTGTTCTGTGACCCTACAGGCCAGTAATAGGGGTTGTTCTGTTCTTTATTTTTAAAGATTTCCACTGTTTGACCCCTCATTCCTATGAGGAGGCACAGAAAATCCTGACTGTGGCAGGGAGGCCCTGCTTGCTGTACACCAGACCAGAAAAGGCAGAGCAGAGCTGGCACCAAGACTAAGTGCCTCTCAGCCTTGCTTTAGCAAGGAGAATGCAGTGCTGTATCTGCTTCCTACAGTCATCATTGGCTCCGTATCCTGTCCTCACATCCACTGCAGGGAGTTTAGCTTGGTTATACTATCAAGAAACACTGCAATGGCTGGTTTGAGGTTAATGCCAGCTGGCTGCTTTGGAGGGACTGGCAGGGGAAATGAGGATATGGATCTTGTATTGCTCCTGAGCCAGTTGCAGCACATCTCCAGTCTTGGCCAGCTCCAGTTTCACCTGTGAAGGCATGTGAGAAGGACCAGCTCAGGCCCTGGATGCCCCACAAGGAAGAGGCCATGCGCTTCCCCATCAGCAAACAGTAAAGCAGAAGTGCACATTGGGGTGGGGGAGGAGCTTTGCTGTCTGTGTCCATACCAGAAAGGACGGCTCCATAAGTGGGGAGAGGAGACACCACGGATCATCAGGAGGAAGGTACAGAACATGTCTGTAATGCTAAGTCTGATGGCAAGAGGAGGGAGCATCACACAGGGCAGAAAAAGGGCAGGAGACCCTAAACGATCTCTACAGTCTTTCCAAACTGGCTCGCATGGCTACAAGGCCACAGAGCAAGAGCATCTCCTTGTGCCCTTGGAACACGGCATCTGAAACTACAACCTCCAGAAAGAGCTGGGAGACCCTGTTCCAGTCACAGAGATGAGCTGCAGAAGACCTAGCAGAAGACACTTGTGAGGCAGCACTCCAGCACTCCCAGTCCCATTTCCAAGCGCTCACACTGGAGCGGTACCAATGCTGCTCCCTTGCAGGGCTGGCCCCATGCAGCCCTACCTCCACTCGCACAGGTGCTGGCCGGGTGGAGATGGCTTGGGCCCATTGCACCGAGCTCAGTGCCGTGGCGTTTTGTTGATGTGCTCACTGCCCGAGGAACCTTTCCCTACTGCCCAGTTTGCACCAGAACAGCTGCTTGGGGTGCAGTTCGAGGGGTCTGCCAGCATGATGACCTGCAAGGGCCCGGCTCAGAGTGCTCACAGCTCTGTTGTTTTCCTGGGCTCGATCAGGACCGAGTTTAACATGCCCACCTGGCACTCCTGATCTTGGAGCTTTCTGGCAGCCTGTGAAGGGCTTTGGCACCAGTTCGACCGCTGTCGGCCCCTCTGCCAGTTCCTCAGGATGAGCAGGATAGTGATGAGGACGAGCACTGCCGTCAGCACCCCAAACACCAGCACTGTCACCAGCTGGGCTTCACTCAGCCCCGAGTCCCTTTGGGTCACCACCTCCTTCACAGAGATTTTTAACAACCCTCCTCCCGGCACTTTCTCACTGTGGTTGGCCATGCGCCGCCCTGTAACTGCACTCCTCATGGGCTCTGGCTGTGTCACCTCAGGCATCTCGCTGGTGGTGCTCCTCATCGCCCAGCCGCTCTCATGGTTTGCAGAATAGTAGGGGGGAGCCCAGGTGGGCTCAGGGACGGAGATCTCACAGGTTTTGCCAGTGAAACGGTCAGGACACAAGCAGTCATAGTCATTGATACGGTCGTAACACTTGGCCCCATTTTTGCAGGGCTGGCTGGCACAGTCGTTGATGTTGATGGTGCAGAAACGCCCCTCGAAGCCCACCTGGCACTGGCAGGAGAAGCGGTTGATGCCATCATGGCAGGTGGCACCGTTGGCGCAGGGCCGCATCAGGCAGTCATCCACGTCATGCTCACAGAAAGCCCCCACAAAACCAGCAAGGCACCGGCACGTGAAGTTGCTGGCAAAGCCGTTTTCATCTTGACACTGCCCCCCGTTCTTGCATGGAGACCTGCAAGGACAGAAGAAGGATGGGTCGTGGCCCTGGAGAGCAAGCAACTCTCCCTGCCATAGGGATGGAAACTCACTACTGGAGGTGGCTGCCAAGCCACAGAGCAGGTGGATGGATGCGGTAAAGGAGGATGTGGTAAAGCTTCTGCCTCCATAGTGACAAGGATGGGATATCCCCAAGGCACAGGGCAGCTGCCCAATGGGAAGAGGCCACAGGCCAAGGATCTGAGGAAGATGCAGGTCCTCCTGATGCTCCTTAAGGCTCAATTGGTGTCAGCTCATTGCATCCAAACTGACAAGGGATGGGAACCTGCTCAGATCACAGCCCTAGTGGGACTGCAGCATGCCAAGCTAAACTAAAGCCAAAGATGGTTTTGGCTTATCTCCATTAGTGCATGGAAATCCAGAGAGAGTGAGTCAAGCTGAACTGCAACTAGTGCTGTCTGTAATCACAATGCTGTGTCTTACCCTGCCTTCTCACATGGCCCTGCCTTCATCTCACAGTCCTTCCCGTGGAAGCCCTCTGGACACAGACAGGAGTAGTCCCCATCTCGGTCATAGACGCACTGAGCCCCGTTCTGGCATGGGGACTGATGTTCGCAGATGTGGACATCTGAGGGGGAAGGAAAAGGTGGAGTGAGTGAGAAATGAGAGTTAATGCAGTCACTTCAGTTCCCAAACTCTGCCAGATCAGTGGGGATGGAAAGTGGCTGCAGCTTCTCTCTCCTTCCCTTCAACAGGCAGTAGCAACCCAGGCCTGGAGGTGGCAAGAAGACCCCTTGTTGCCCTAGAGGCCTGCGTGATGTGCCAGTGCTGTGTATGCCAGCCAGCAGGAGCACACCATGGTGGTGGCATGGGGGAGCTGCACTGTTAGGCCAGATAACAACACTTGGATACAGTGTTTTTGCTGCTCCCACCATGCAGCTGGGGACAGCCAAAGCACATCCCATCTCTTGGCAGCCCAAGCTGGCATCCCACACGTGGCTTCTGGCTATGCCATCCCTCCTATCAGAGCAGGACTTTAGCCACAGCACACTGAAGCGCAGCATGGGAATGAGCCTGGATAATGCTCCACTGTCCCTTGCAGAGCCAGCCATCCACACAGCCAGAGACTCACCCTTGTCGCAGAACTTGCCGGCCCAGCCACTGTGACAGATGCACTGCCAGGGCTGGTGGCAGGTCCCATGCAGGCAGCCCGGCATGCGCACGCACTCCTCGCAGTACTCGCCCTCCCAGCCTGGGTCGCACCTGAGGGGACAGAGCAGCGTTGGGACACCCAGCTTTTCTGTACCTACTGCACAACCCCTGTGTGTATCTCCCAAGGTACAGCCACACAGGCAGAGAGAAGCCCCAGTCCGTAATACCAGAAGCCCCAGGGGATGGGACGAGGAGAGGTTCTTGTACTGGAGTGGGTGGTAGCTATGCAAGTTCTCGCGTGATGTGGCCAGCATGTAGAAAGCACTGAGTTACAGGGGAGGGTCAGGTTGGGTGTTAGGAAAATGTTTATCACCAGAGGGTGGTCGGGCCCTTGAACAGGATATCCAGGGCACCAACACTCTTGGAAGTATGATCTGAATTTTGAATGGTCCTAAATGGAGCCAGGAGTAGGTCTCAATGATCCTTATGGGTCCTTTCTAACTTGGGATATTCTATGAGTCTACAGGCTTATGGGTGCAGTGTGGTGGGAAAACGGAGTCCTACAGGATAAAACGAGTCTTCTGGCTCCAGAGGAGCGGTGTGGTGGCCACAGCCACCAACATATTAAAGCTATGGCATCCCAGTAGCCTTCCCCCATCCTATCAGCTCTCAGCAAGTGCTAAGAAAAGAGGGCATCTCTATGGAAGCAGGGCTGAGCGGAGGTGGCACCAGATACTGCAAAAGCTATAAACAAAACAGCATGAAGATAAACCTCAGGATAAACCTGAGAGTGGGCAGCAAGCACCCCTTCCCTTGGGTATCACAGGCTGTGGTGCAGGAACAGAAGGTGTGAGCTGCTTTCCTTCCCCAAAAGAGAAAGCCTAGAAACCACAACGGCAGAAGTCCCTGGGCAGAGGGCAATTTCAGTGGGGTGTTGCCAAGGCTGAGGTGTGGGTAAGGAAAGATAAAAGCATTGAGGGAGGTGAACGTACCTGCACTTCCCATCCTGGTCGCAGCTGCCGTGGGCTAGGTTGCAGTGCTCACTGCAGTCATCACCTGCAATGCAGGGACAGGGGGCTGAGGTTAAGCAGAGATCATGGGTGACCCCAGATCTGCTCTGGCCCTGCTGGCTTGCAGGTAACTGAGAAATAGGACCCTATAGCCTGTGTTACAGCACCCGGACCACTGGGGTGGGAAGGCTCACGCACACCAGGGCACAAAGGCACCAAAGGCAGAAGTAGTGAGAACGGGTCCTTTGTGTCTCTGGGATGTTCCCATTCCTGAGAAAAACTGTTTGCGTGCAGCAGACTGCAGCCAGGGCCTGAGCACCCCCCTTCACCTTGAGGAGCAGGTATCCAGTTCTGCTTATTTATTTAAAGGCCACCATAAAGAGGCTGTAACTGAGCCATGGCCTTGCCATGCCACTTCTCACTCCTGATCCACATCAGCCTGCTCTCTCCACCTCCGTGTCTGCTTTTGCCCCAACCTCCCCCTCTGCCCCTTCACTGACTCAGAGCTTACTGCAGGAACTCAGTGTGCACCCAGGCCAGCAAGTGACTGCCCGGATCAGGCCCCTTTATACATGAGGCATGAGCCTCCCAAAAGTCCATCTGTGAGGCAGGAGCCTCCCAAACCCAACCAGGGCAGTGGTGCTGAATCTGCTCGGTCCAGGCTTGGGTATCACTGTATCTCCTGCCTGTGAGCACCTCTCCTGGCAGATGGCTTTGAGAATTCAGCACTTATCTGGAGCGGGGGTAGGGCAAGATAATCTTCAGGATTTTGCCTCACAGGATCCAGATTAGCCTTTTGGGGTCAGGATCTTCTCCCCCTCTCCCCCTGCCTCTCCCAATGGGCCCATCCCAGTGAGAGGTGGGGCACTGGGACCCCTCACCTCACTGCCACCCAGCTGCCACCACAACGGGGCCTTATGGTCGCCATTAGTCACCTCCTAGGTGCTGGATGATGAAGCAGCATTCTCTGGTTTTCAATGTCAGGCCAGCTCTATTTTGCACAATGAGCTGAGGAGTTTTGTCCATGCCAGGAATGGATTTGGAAAGGTAAACAGAGAAGAGCAGGACCCAGAGACTCACCTTGGGCAAGCTGGTGATGGGCCAAGAGGATCCAAAGCAAGGACATGAGCTGGAGACAGAAGCTCCTGAGCATGGTCAGTGTGGCCCCACCGAGATGAACACCTACAGAGGCAAAAAGAGCTAGCTGAGGAAAAGCCTGTGGCTCACACTGCAGCATCACTTCACACGTCCCTTCCTCTCCACTGCCTGGGAGTTCTGAGCTGAAACATCCGGTTTTGTATGGGCTTCTCACCACACACCTCTCAGTCCTTCCACGCTCCTTCCTCTAATGCAACGTTGGAGCACTAAGAACCATAAAGCCTTCTAACACGTGCATATGGGAGACCAAACAAATACGCTCAGTGCTGAGTGCACAGCAGCTGAGGCTGCTGCACTGCTCCATTCAAGGCTCTACGATCACTAGCGCTGCCAAGGGGACCTTCACCTTCCCTCCCTGCATCGGGGGACCTGAGCTCTGTGTTAACTGAAGTGTGAGGTCCCTGCACTGCATCTATCCCACGCTCACAGCACATGGGCTGCTTTTCAAAGACTCACTGCCTGCAGCAAGCAAACCTCATAAGCTGGTGGCTAAGATGCGAAGCTCCGTCTGGCTCAATTAGGAGGGAAGGGAATGGGGTGGATCTAGGTGGTGAGAGGGCAGAAAGTAGCACCAGGGAAAATAGCATTGGTAAGGAAGGGGGTGAAGCAATAGGCCCCAGGCTTGAAGCCCTGAGCAGCGCTCACTTGCTGGGTGCAGCCCTTTCCCTCTGCCACCCCACAGAGAGACCTGTGAGCCTCGAGTTCCTGCACCCGTTGATTTTCTGACCGCCTCCTGCCCTTGTAAAGTAGCATTAAACACTTTTCAAAAAACACTTCAATCCCTCCCAGCCTTCTGGGGTTGTTTAGGGCAGGAAATTCTAGGGTGATATCATAAGGATATTACTATAATGAGATGGGAGGGGTTAAGCCATCCCGTAAGGAGCGTGGCACGGAGCAGGCTCTATCCAGTTGCGTGGGTGTGATGAGCAGAGGCCGTGCTGCTCTCAGCTCCACTGTGAAGTGAGAGAAGGTTGCGTTGTGTCCGTAGCTACATGGAAAGCTGCCCAGATTTGGAGAGAAGTCACCCCCACACCTACATCCATTGCAGGACAAGGTGCTAGGGACAATTTTAATGGCTCGACACACATGGACCAGACAAAATCACCCACTGAGCCCAAAGCAGTGATGCTGTTCAGAGCATCTCGCCACAAACAAACCATCACCCAAAAAAGACACAGCATTTTCAGAGAGACTGCAAGATGTGCTTGTCAGCGTCCCAGCCAAATTCCAGCAGGGATCACAGCATCTTCCCTACGTGTGCTCCCCTTGTCACCGTGCTTTCAGGACTGTTCTTCGCTTCCTGCCCTGAAATGCTGGGCAGTGGCGGACAGCTGCAGCATTTCAGGAGAGGACGAAGCAATGCCTAGGAAACTTATAAAACAATTGAGGGCTGACGGGCGAGCAGTTGGCAGCCCATCCCTTAGGGCTGTTGAAAGCCCGACCTCCGATCACCAGCGTCATTGCAAAGCTCGCTGCGCGAGGCTCCCCGCTGCTGCCCCTTCGAGCTCCAGACCTCTGGGTGCTGCCTTCGGTGGCCGCATCCCGGGGGCAACCGGACCTCACGCGGATGTCAGCGGGCCTGGCCTTGGGGCGCAGGGACGCGCCCACCTTCTCCTCCCTAATCCCCTCCAGTGCCTCGGGGCATGAGGGCCCCCCCGGGGGCAATAACAGACACCCCCTCGCGGGTGACCGGGAACCGCCGGAGGCGACCGGGGACAACCTCAGAACGAGGGCTCTTCCCCAGTCCCCCGGCCCGGGGCTACCGGGGCACGGCAGGATGCACCGGGAGATGCCGCGCCGCCGCGGCTCTGCCTTCCCGGCCCCTTCAGCCCCCCCGCGGCTTCACGACCCCTCCAGATCCCCCCGCACTCCCGGGAGGGTCCGGGCGGGGAGCGCTCGCTCCGTTGCTCCCCCTCTCCGGCCGGGGGGCCTCGCACCACCCGGGCCCCGCCGCCCCCTCGGGCGGCGGGGGCCGCGCAGCGAGGCCAGCCCACCTCCCCGGTGCGCTCACCTCGGCGATGCGGCGGCTCGTGGGGCTATCGCGGGGCTCGGCGGCGAGGGGCGGCCATGCCCGGCGCGGTGGCGGCGGCGGCGGCGGCGGCGGGGCTGGGGAGGCGCGGGTCTGCGGAGGGAGCTGCCGCGTGTGCCGCTCCGCCCGCCGCCGCCGCCGCCGCCGCCGTGCGCCCCGGCCGCCTGCCAGCGGCTGCGTGTGCCTGCACATCCCCGCTCCCTCCCCGGGACATCCCGCCTCCCGCAGCCCCAAACCGCAGGCAGCCCCCCCGGGCCGGCTCGGCCCGACCCGCCCTGCCCGCTCACCCCTGCCCTGCTCCCGCTGCCTCCGGGGGCGGCCACACGCAGGACTCCCACCCACCCACGGTCACTGCGCGGGCCAGGCTGAGCCCCCGGACCCACGAACCGTGGCAGCTCCGGGCTGGGGGTCGGATCCCGGAGGAACCCCTTAGGAGGGGGCAGGGTCAGACATCCCCATACACGGAGGCTTCGCTGCTGGAGTCGGGCAATGCCGGCCTCCCCTACTGATCACCTTCCGCTCAGCACCTCTGCCTACACACCAGGAAACCCCACCAGATTTCCCCCAGGCTTCACAAAGCTTCAAGATATTGAGAAAAGTGAAAATGCCACCCCAGACCCTCTGTGTCAGCTCCAGTCCCTCCACTGAGCACATCTCCATTTTCAAGCCCTGCGATTTAAAGTCCGAAAGTAGAGAAGCAACGTGAGGCAGCCACCCTAGAAAGAAGGCACCCTGCCAAGCTGCCAAAAAGGAGCCATCCCACCCAGCTGTGGTCCTTGGTGCTTCTCCTGCTGCTGCTCATGAGACATAGATACCGATGCTCCAACATGGAGACAGCCTTGTGTGAGGGGCTGGGCAGCCAAGTCCTTAAGAGGAACAGCTGCCTGTGCTTCTCCTCACCTTGCATGGCCTTTCTGCCACTCAATAAAATCAGATTACTCCACCACCTTCCAAGGTCTAGCTATCCTTAATTAGAAATCATCTGCCCCTTTTCCATACTCCACTGGCCTCAAAGTTTGCTATTTTCCTCCAGGAAGCAAGTATAACCTAATGCTCCTGGTACTCATGTGGGTGTTATCAGTTCCTGTCTCCTCACCACATCCCTGCCTTCCCTTTGTCACCTCCTGCAGTCCCTGTGACTCTCATAGCCCCACCAAAGTCCAGTTCTGCACCTCATCTGCCTGCAGACCTTGGCTTGTTCAGACAACACAACTCTAGGGAGCTATACTATGGGTTCCTACCTCACGTGCCTCCCTTCTGCTTTCCTGTCAGGCAGAAACACCATTCTTCTCTTTGCCTGCTCTTCCCTGTCTTGGTCACCCCATGGAACTGCTCCAAGGGCCCTGAGGATCAGGCAGGTACCAGTCTCCTGCAGCTTGGATGCTGACCAAGGTGCACCAGCTCTAGGATGCTTCCTGCAGTTTTCCATCCCGCTCTCACTCTCTTCTGTGGATATCTGCCAGGGCACTGCACCACATTGCAAGGCCATACCTGCATGCAGGTAAACCTTGATTGAATGAACACTAGAAAAAGCTCTTGCAGATTGACACTGCGTGTTGGTACCCAGAAGCATCTGTATCCACAACAGGAGTGGTGCGGGAGGGGGAGGTGGGATTGGGTTGCAGCGAGCTGAGCCACACACGTGGCTTTCCCATAACAGTCATCTCCGAGGTGAAATCTGTGGCCAAGGCTAGGGAGGGGAAATCGGCTGCTGGAGATCTGCATGCCAGGCAGGGGAGTGGAGAAGGGAAACCATGGCAGGGATTCAGAGGGTGAAGTGAACACATCTGAGGAAAAAGAATCTGGGGTTTGGTTTATTCCTTTTGGTGTGAGGACCACAGACAGGGAAGGGATGGGCATAGAAAAGTGGGTGCAGAAGAGAGCAGGCAGACACACCGGGCACGATGAACCCTAAGCATGCTCCTTCCTCATCGCTGAAGGGTTCTTGTCCAATCCCTGGGCAAACTCTGAGCCGTGCTCTGGCTGTCCCCAGGCTGCCCATAATGACTCCAGCAAAGTGACTCTATTTGCAGACCCAAGGTATGAGGTTTGAGGAGGGGATTCCTGCACTTAGCTTGGACCCGGCTCTAATATGCTCTGATCCCTGCCATGCCATCCCTAGGGGCGTCTCGCATGGAACAGCTGCTGGGTCAGAATTAGGAAGGATTTTTTCCTAGCCATAAGAATCCCTCCAGTGCTCTTCCTTCAGATGAAGGAAACCCCACAGAGCAGAGACTCAGAATGGGGTTGGGAATCCCCCATCACCAAGCACCTTTGTGCCTCTCCCCCATGCCTGCCAGCTGCAGGCTCCCTCCTGTACCATCATTCCCAGTGAGATGGAAAAGTTACCTGTCAAAGCCAGCTGGGGCTGCTTGCTTTTCCTCCAGTGTCTGCAGCCTGCACCTTGGAGACACCTGGACATGAGGGGTGAGGATGCTTGGCTTCAGCAGCGGATGATACTGCCTCTTCTCCTCCACTGAGGAACCTTCCCCAGAGCAAGAAGAGAAAGAAGCTCTTCTCTTTGCAGACTCCCAGAAAAACACCCCTTCCTGCCCACTGCAGTCCCTTAAGGGAGACAGAGGAGCAGCACAAGCAGCTGGAGAATGGCCACAAACACCTCTGAACTGCCAGCTTACACCAGCATCCTCCCCCGCAGCTCGGGGTGAACCTCTCCTCTGTATGCACGCTTGCTGTGCAGCACCGGCCCGGGGTCTCTGGGTAAAAACAAATGTTCTCCCCCATGCCACCCCCCTTGTTTCTCCCATCCCACCCCAGCCCACAACAAACATCAGCAGCTCGCTGGCCCCGCAGCCATGTAACCCAACCCCAACCATTGTTCCCCCTTCCCCAAGGTCTATATTTGACTCTGCAGCAGCACCATCTCTGTGTAGATGTGTGTGTGTGCGCTCACCGCACGCACACGCTCCAATATTTGTTCAGAGCCTCATTCTCCAGATGCCCGGGATTGCTTAGAAATAGCTTCCATGGGCAGTAGGTGTTTGTGCCTGCAATGGGGACGTGGAGGGGGTGGGCAAGAGAGGGGCAGGGAGAGGGTGAAGGTCAAGGGTGCAGGAGCTCCTGGCTCTTCCTGTGTGATTTTCACCATTTCAGTAATCTCTCACCCTGCAGAGGGTGGATGGGAGGAAACACAGCAACGCTTGTGGTCAACAGCAACAGTGGGACTAGTGGTGGATCTGGGGAAGGATGGAGAAGAAGATGTGTAGTTTTGATGAATCTATCAAGTTCCACTCTGCCCTGTGTTTTGCTGTGGTATAAATGCTCCCAAAGCCCTTCAGAACTTCCCAGGACTGGTGGTTGAGACCATCAGAAATGGCTCAAGGAAGGGAAGTGGCACTGGCACTGGCTGCCCAGAGAAACTGTGGGTATCCCATCCCTGGAGACACTCAGGGCCAGGTTGGATGGGGCCCTGGGCAGCTGAATTGGCGGTGACAACGCACAGCAGGGGTTGGGGCTGGGTGGGCTCTAAGGTCCCTTCCAACCCAAACCATTCTATGATTCTAAGATAAGAATTCAATTCCCTTGGTCCTGGTGGCTTTGCAAGAGGTGCATCAGCCCACGAGAGCTCTGGGATTCACCCTCCTCCATGTTAATGCTGCAGTGAGGGCAGCCTCTCTGGGCTACCCCAGGATTTATTTTGTGTGTTCCCAAAGCCTTCAGGAATGTTGCCCAAGCGCAGTGTCACATTCCCTGTGACCCTGAAGTCCATGGGAACTTTGCTGAGACTCAGCGGTCTTTTTCATTTGGTTCCTTCGTGGCCTGCCAGGATACTCAGCAAAATCAGAAATAATACAATCAAAATTAATGACAGGAAGGATCCCCTTTATCCTAAAAAGGATACTCATTCAGGGAACTCATTGCTGGAGGAGAAGATGTTCAGTACGCTTACAAAAATGACTGGAGATTTATATAGACATTAAGGATAAAGAGTGATGAACCCTAAAGAGCTATAAACCCTCCTGCTCCAGGGTGTTGAGTGCTAGGCTATGAGTAAGACTTCTACCTTCCCCTGAATCAGGAAGATGGGTATCTGGGAGAGAAAGGGTGTTGAGTGTGAGAAGGCACCATTCACATGCACCCACTAGAGAGCAGCCACAGAGGGGTGGCCCAGCCTACATTTCCCATCACCATGGCCAAGGACTTGACAGCTGCTTTAGTAGCTCTATGAGGTATTTTAGAGAGATGACTCCCACTGCTCAGAGCCATGTGTCAGCCTCAAACCAGCCCTGTGGGGATGGAAAAGTCACACATTGTTGTGAGATATGGATTCCTTGAGCACAACTTAATTATTTCTCTCGAAGTCAGAAGAGAGCCACCAGAAAAAAAAAAAAAAAAATATATATATATATATATATATGCATATATTTGACTAATTAACTTCAAATACACTTGAAGAGGAAGGGAAAGAGACAGGTATATATGGAGGGTGGCTGGAGAAATAATGTTATCACCTTTAGCCTCCACAGCTCAAAAAACTGAGCCGTCTCCTTTCAGAAAGCCCCCACAAGTTCACTGTATAGGATCTTGTCTTGCCCTGTGATCTTCAGCTTCCCTTTTTGTATTCAACAGCCATTGCCATGGCTGTCCCAGGGTACAGCCCTCAGGAGGTGCACCCCTTTTCCCTGCAACCTCCTGCTGCCAGGGGAGGTTGGGAAAGATCAGGCATGAAAGAGAAGCTGTCAGAGGATGTCTGCCAGGCCTTCCACTTCCTGGCACACACCATAGGGTGCCTTGAAGCCCACCTCCAGCCATGCCCTGTCCTGTCCTCTTCCAGCTGGCAGCTCTAGCAGTAAAACCTCCCTATCTCACTGGGAGCACTCGAGCATTTAATGGGAGTCTATTGAAGAGAATGTTTGGAGCTTCTTCACAGCTCATTTCCAAGCTCGCTCCTGGGTGTTTGCAGAGGTTGGCGTATCTCCTGGGTGTTTGCAGAGAAACCTGTCAGGAGTCTGTTGCAGTGAATTTCAAGGTCATTTCATAAAGCTAGAGCCCATGCTTCGAAAGACTTGATCCCTGGGTGCAAAGAATGGGAGTCCGTAATTACCAGCCCTGGGGGGCATGGATGAAGGTTGGAGGGGGAGGCTAATTGCAGACTGACTGTCTCCTTGGCCTTCAACATCTCTCGTGGAGCAGGGAAGTGGTGTGCTCAGCCAAGCACCAAGCGTGTCCTAGGGAAAGGTAATTCCTCCCCAGCCTGCCTGAACCCGTCCCTATAAACATTGAGAGCTGTATTGGGAAGGCAACGCTGCAGAATTCACGAAAAAAAAAAAAAAAAGTCTCTCTGAGCTGGAGAAGCAAGCCAGGCATGCAGAAAGGCTCCTTAGGAGACAGCACACAGCCACGTGCCTCTTCCTGGAAGAGTCTGCAAGTTCCTGCTGTGCCCTCAGAGGCAAGCAAGGGCTGAGGGCCTGGATCCTTCCCGCAGTTTGTGCACCCCAGGGAGGTACTACCATCACCTCCCTGGTGTGGATGTGTGCACCATGTCCTCTCATGTATGGGTGGGTGCTCTGCCCCGTGCCATGTCAGGCCCTAGGCCTGCACCTCAACCCTACCTGCTGCCCCACACAGGCTCTGAGAGACATCCTCCTTCCCCTCCCCATACTTTTAGCGCAGTTCACTTCAAACCCTTTATTAGCATGACAAGCTAAACAAGTTTCAACAAAGGGGAACGGATTCAGAGGCTCTAGAGTTTGGATCTGAGGCTGACACCGTTACTCCAGCCTTTGCTTCCTGGTAGGGTTTTCTCTTGCACTCAAGCAGCTGCTCTTCCCCTTGGGCACGGGCACCATTTCTCTCTGCCCCTTCACCAGGCTAATTCTCTGTCATGAAAAGATGGCAGTTACTCAGCCTCCACTGCAGGGTACACCTGTGCTGGCACTGGCATCCCTTGAGGCAAAAAGGCTTTGCAGAAAGCGTTGGCTGGGTGAGCCAAGGTGAGGCCGCACTGCAGCCCTGAAGCCTCACATGGTGGGGGCTGGAGGCACTGTGCTGGGCACAGAGTGGGCAGCAGGCCCTGCTAGGTGGGTGAGCACAGTGTAGAGCCAGCAGTTGGCCAAGGAGCAGGGGGCTGCCACCGCCCAGTCACTGCACCCAGGAAGGGACACTGGGGACAAGAAGCAACAGCAGGCTGTGCTTTGTAATGGCTAGTTAGAAATGGCCAGTAGGGGTCACTGATATCTATTATTTTTTGTTTTATTTTTCAACATAGGTATATATAAATATAAGAAACATACACAGGAAGCAGTTGTAATGGGGAAGTGCATTCATCAGATGTACAGGTTAGGGAAAAGGGCCCTGACGTACATTTGAAATAACCGTGTAAATTGTGCATCCCTCTCTGCTCAAAATTCGTGATGGCACAAAACCTCTGAGTTGACCAGGAGCCAGGGTCTCATGTGGGTGCTTCGCTGCTGTTGTTCTTCAGCCCTGCCTTCATCTTTATCCCATGTGTCCAGAGATGCTTTGAGAGAAATGTAAGAGGTTATGAGATCTAAACCCTGAGAGCAGGACATTGTGTCTGCTTCTCTGTCAGTACAGCACTCAATACAATTACATTCCATCTGCGATGGATGCCTTTAGGCAGTCCCGTAAGACAAACACAGCAGTTTTGGTTGGATCAGCACAATTCTGTTCTTCAGCCATTGTTGCTGATGATCAAGTGTTTGTCCGTGAACAAATTCCAGGTGACTTTGGAGAGTCACACATTCTCATAAAAATTTAGCCCCACTCTTATGTAGGAGAATTGATTGAATTCTATACTCGGGTATTGCAAGCAGCTAGTTTACCGGTGAGCTGTGTTTCTTTGGTAGGTACATTGTCCAGGCATGCTGGCAGGATGTCCAATTCTGCATCCACAGATGTGTTTGGCTATCCCAGGCTGGTTGTACTTTGCTGCACAGAAGTGAGTGCATCCTGAGGTCCCTTCATTTCCTCCAAGCAGGAAGAAATGGGACTTCACACATCGCGCAGGCAGGGATCACCAAAGGATGGCCCAGTCCATTGTCTTCCCAGCTTGACCTGGGTTGGCAGAGAACCTGAGGAGACCAACACTGCCATGCCTTCTGGTGGGGAGTCATTATTTATGGTGTCTACTTCTTCACTATAGGCACTTCAGAGGGATTTGTCCCTCTGCAGGGTGGCACCTGCCCATCCAGGGGTTCCTTTTATAAAGTTACAGGGGTCTATATAAAGTGCTGCCAGTTGGAAAGTATTTTGAATAGATTCCTCCCTGCTCTTCATTAAGGGTCATAAATTCAACTGGTATTTGAAAGAATCTCAAATGTATTTCTAGGACCGTTTACTGAGACCTTCAGCATCCGCCAGAGGCCCCTTAAAATAAAGGGATTATTGGGAGTCAAGTGTTAAATTACCTGGTGCTTGTTAATTGAACTTCAGAGGCTTTAGTGAGCAACTGGCTCTCGCGGAGAACAAGACTTTGGCATGAATAGTGTTATATAAATGAATATAATACAATGTCATGCTTCCGCATTGTGTCACTTCTCTTGGCTCTGAGCAGTGGTGAGTCCATCTCACAAGCCATCCGGATACATGAAAAGGCAGTGTAGATGTGTGTGGAGGCAGAGAGGGAAGGGGATTGGCAGTCAAGGCTTTCTGGATTTGGGCAAAGGGTTTTCTTCATGCTCAGAGCAGGTGACTGGTCTCAAGCATCCTGAGTTCCGCTTTTGTCTCCCCTTAGCTATTTTGAAGACAGTTGAGTTTATTAGAAGCATAACATACAGAGGCCATCTGAAAGCCCAGTTCTCTCCATCCAGCAGGGCCTATTTCACCTAAACTTCTAAAAAGATTGGAGGCCCTCTTCATAGACCCTCTGTCTTCGGTTCTCTATGATTCTGTGATCCTACTTTAAGAAAGGAAAGGACTCTAATCGCCGTTGCCATCAGTGCACACCCACGGAAACCTGAACAGCCCACAACTGTGAGCCCTCCAAGGCAGCAAGGCCCTGTGGAAATGGGAAACCTCATCAGCTATGAAAATTTCATCAGCTGGCGCTGCAGAAGCAAGAATCTGGAAGTGGGGAGCAGATGGGCAGCCTGGATTCTTGGAGCCATTGTCCTCCTGCTTGTTATCTGACTCCAGCACAGGGAGGGTTGGGAGAATTTATGGGGGCACAAGGACTGAAGGCTTTCTTGAAATATCCCTGCTGACGCGTGGCACAGTGCAGGCAGTACTTGCTGGGTGCACAGCAGACGGTTTTGCACAGTATTCCCAAGGTCATGAAGCAAGGCTCTGCTGAGCACCTGTCCTCTATTGTGTAAGAGAGGGCACCATGTGGGCAGGGCTTGCAGCACTCTGAACCTTTCACTACCTGACTGCAGACTTGAAGGCTGTGTACATGTGATACATTTGGGAATATCATCGAAATACTATCAGGACTTCTCTCAGCTGTTCCCATCTCTGCTGGACTTGGCTCAAATAACCACCACGTGGACATCAGCTCAGGAGATGTTTGTGAAAGAAACAGTGACAGGGCGGGAGACAGAGGACAGGCTTAGAGGGCAGTGGGAAAAAGATGTGTGTGAGCTCAGAATGGAACAAGTGGGACAATTTGGTTAAAATGTAAAATGTATTAGCTTGCTGAATCTTCAAGTGTAGAAAAATGAAGAGGATGAGTTTGCCAATAGAAATCAAAGTTCATGATCATAGCTGTGTGCAAATTTGACACCATCAGCCCCTCTTTAAGAGGCAGGCAGAAGTCCTCAGGACTTGTAGGTAGGCTTTTCTATTCAACTTTGGGATCTTTCTGGCCTTGCTGGCCTTGCTGGCAGCACTGAGACTGTGGCCTCAGGGGCATTTGTGCCCCTCTACTCTGCCCTTGTGAAGCCCCATCTGAAGTGTCCAGGCCTGAAACCCCCAGCACAGCAAGGATATGGAGCTGCTGGAGCGGGTCCAGAGGAGCGTCATGAGGATGATCGGAGAGCTGAAGCACCTCTCCTATGAAGAAAGGCTGATGGAGTTGGGCTTGTTCAGCCTGAGGAAGGCTCTAAGGAGACCACATTGTGACCTTCCAGTACTTGAAGGGAGCATACAAGCAGGAGGAGGGCTGGCTTTTCATATGGCCTAACAGTGATAGGACAAGGGGGAATGGCTTTAAGCTAAAAAAGAGGAGATTTAGGTTGGTGTTATGAAGAAATTCTTTACTCAGAAGGTGGTGAGGCACTGGCACAGCTGCCCAGAGAAGCTGTGGTGCCCCATCCCTGGAGGCGCTCAAGTCCAGGTCGGATGGGGCCCTGGGCAACCCGAGCTGGTGGGCAGCAGTCCTGCCCACGGCAGGGGTTGGAACCAGATAACCTTTAAGGTCCCCCAGCCTAAGCCAGCCAATGACCCTACGCCACTGCCCCCCTCCAGCACTTGGGATCTCCCGTCGCCCCCCGCCCGCTGGTAGCGCCCCGCCCGCCGCCCCTCTCCTCCGCCGGCCCGGTTTCCGCGCGGCGCGTTGCCGCGGTGACGGAGGGGACGCTCGGCCCCGCCCCTCCCGTGCTGCCCGATGACGCACCGCGCTGCGGCGTGGGGATTCCGCCGGATTACCCGGCGTGCCCCGCGGCAACATGGCGGCCTGAAGTGAGAGCGTGGGGCCGGGCCGAGCGGGGGCAAAGTTTGGGGCGGGCCCGAGGCGAGGTCGAACCGGGGCCGAACCGGTCGCAAAGTCACGGGAATCCCGGGTGGAAACGAGCCCGACCGGGTCAGAACCGGGACGGGACCACGGGGACGGGGAGCGGAAGCGGCGACCGGCTGGGGACCGAGCTCTGGCCCTGCCCGCGGGCCTCGCCGGCCTTCCCGGGCGGGGCGGCTGGGGGGGGGGGTCCCGGAGGCCGCCGCTTCCGCTCTGGGGGCTCTTCCTGCGGCTGGGAGATGGGTGGGCGCGGGGTGTGGGGGGGTGAGGAGCAGGATCCGTGCAGGGGTGCTGGACTAGGTGCTGCGAGGCAGAACCAGTGTGGGCCGGTGTGCATGTTTTAAGGAGTCACAGCATAACTGGCACAGTCAGAGCTGGGGTGGAGGAAGTGGCGCTCGCTGTCTGCCAAGCCTGGGGGTCAGATGGGAAGTTATCTCCCAGCCTGGGTGTCCTCTCCACTACAAGGGGTGTTAGAGACAACTAACCCTACGGTGGAGTTAGAGAGCAGCCCCTGGAAACGTGAGAAGACTTTAAGGAAAAGATCTAAGCAAACAATAGTGACCTGCTTCTGGCTCAGATCTTAAACACACAGTGTAGCGTGCAATGAAAGATTGAGTGTGGGTGGATTTTTAAATGGGCAGGATACTGCATTGGGAGGCAGTGGGGCACGCAAGTGATGTGCAGGTCTGGAAAGGCTGCAGATGACCTAGATCTGTGCGATGCCAAGTGGAGGCTGTCCACTGGAAGGAGTCATCTATTAAATACGGTTACTTTGTGCCAGAGAAGGCTTTTCAGAAGTGTTTGTTTGTGTTTTACAGATTCAGAGAAAGAAATGGGAAAAGTGTCAACTTAAGAAGAAGCAATGAATCTCTGTTGAAGCATTAGATAGCAGGTAAGAAAGCCAGGAATGAGCTGATGCTGAATTGAACCATGCTCTTCTTGTCCCTCTTCTTGAATTATTTGAGACTATGGATCCACATAACCTGAAAAACTGTCCTTCCCTATGGTGTTCTTTGCATCACTTTATACTTATGTTGCCTGAATGAAGAGGTCAGGTATGCAAATGAGATGGGTGTAACCCTGACAAATTCAAAAAGAGCCCCTGGGAAGGAAAGTTCAATAGAAGAGGTAGGCTAGTGCACTTTACATGCTATGTAAAAGAAAAGAAAAAAAAAAAAAAAGAACATATCTAGAGTCCCTTCTGTCAGTGTTGAAATACTGATGTTCTCTGTGTAATGGCAAGAGGTCTGCTGAACTAGTCACGGTGAAATCCTTTCTGGAGATGTTGCCCTTGCAGTAATTGTGATGTGACAATTAAGTAATTCTAGAGACCCTCTGTTCTGTTAGGTTATTTCTTCTGCTGCGTTTTTCTTTCCACCCGTATTTTAACTAACTTTATCCCATGGTGGATAGTGCAGGTGTGCTGCTGGCCTCTCTGTACTCTCCTGAACTCATCATTGAGGTCTGGTTACAGGGGCAGCTATTTGATACCTACCTGCTTGGTCCTGTAAATTTTTCATCCCTTTCTCTTGTCAGATCACCTTTTTTTTTTTCCTTTTTTTTTTTCCTTTTTTGTTTTTTGTTTTTTTTTCCTCTTGTAGGATCTTTGCAGAAAATATGTGTATCCCAACAGTACTTTACACGTGCTATGTTTCAGCTTCTGGATGGTAAATCAAAATTGAAGCTTCAAGGCTCTAGCTGTGGTATCAGAAGCTTTTGGCTTTTAATACCTTGCCAGTCACCCAGTACTCTTGAAACTGTGGAATTGCATTTCAGAAGGAGCAGCAGAGTTCAGAAGTGCAACTCGTGGCCATCTTCATCTTAATATGAAACAGGGCCTTGGGTCAGGAGGGGAAGTGTTGCATGCAAGGACCTGTTGTCTCTTCAAACAATCTTTTTGAACCAAAGATGACCTTGCATTCTTCTTCAGCATTCCAAGTAGTTTGTTGGCTGCTGATAAGTTACTTGCTTTGCAGCCTCCAAATCTGCCCTGTCCACATAGCCACGTGGCACAGTATTTAGGGAAAGCAGGAAATAAGTTATACCTTCACAAGAGGAGTAGTCTTTTGCAGGTTTGCCCCTTTTCTTCCCACAGAAAGATAAATAAAGTTGAGTTGGACAGTGGGTGTTTTCTGATCAGTGTGTTGGTGTGAACAGTACCAGAGATGTCTTGGAGAAAGGATTTGTGGAAGCCAGTTGTGGCATATAAGTTGCTTGTTGGAAAAAAAAAAAAAAATCTAACTGTTTAAGTAATAGCGATATAAACTAGTTTCAGTGAATTGTGACTGTATTTTTTTTTTTTTTGGCAGTTTAATGTAGATTTAATGTTTGTGAGCTTTGGAAGCTGATGATTTTTCCAAAGGCGACCTCCCTGACCTGCTAGAAATGTCTGTTTTATGAAGATTCTGCTGCAAACCAGACTCTTGAGATTTCCATGTGTTCGTCATTTCTACAGCACAGTCCCAATAAATAAATCTGGAGGTTATGGCATTGTGAATTAATCACTTTGTGTCCTTGTTAACGGTTTTTACAGCACAGTGTGACAAGATTAATGTAGCAGTACTTAATAACCTTCTGCCTTTCATGTTACTGGTAGAAATGCTGAGTCAAGGAGCCTCCAACGAGTCTGACTGTGATACTGCTTGAGCGCAGGATTCCTCCACTAAGAAATGAGAATTGTACTTGATACCTTTTCGATGCTACTGCGCTCTTTTGACCAGTGTTATCGGGAATGGGAATTTTCATAATGAGCTGAGCAGACATCCTTGGCTGTTGGATTTGATTGATTCTTTGCAATTAAATTTAAGGTTCTGAAGCTCCCCTAACTTGAAAGTTTTGTTTGGGAGGATATCCACTTGACTGTGGGGAGAGTGAATGCTTTTGGCATTTGTGTTAGGTTGTGCCTCTTAAGTTACTAGTAACTGGATAAATATGGTCCTCCCTGAAGCCCATTTTACACAGGACTGCAAAGGAATGGCATGAATAATCTGTGCAAATGGGCTAATACCTTTGGGTGTAAAATTGTCTGTCACACTCTCCTACCAGTTCCAGTACCTGAAGGATTTTTATAAGCGTAGATCAACTGGGTCTGTAACTGAAATAGGAAGAATCTTACTTTTTAAAACTTCAAAACCTTAGAGGGGAATGATGAGCCTGTGGTGAGAATGCTAAACTGGGATGTAGAATACCTATTCTCTGCCAGAGATTGATTATGTGTGTTCACATAATTACTGATTCTTGCTTTTTGTTCTTTGATTGTAAAAATTAGTGCCCATCTTATTAAGCATTTTAGGAATAGTCCATAAATATCTCTAAGATGCTTGAATACTGTGATGCTAAATGTTTTAGTAAAGCATAGTAAGGAAAAAATTATAAAAAGAATATGCATAGCCATGACTTTAAAATGAAGTAGACCTTTTGTGATCTGTTGTCCTTCATGTTCTGCAGCATGATGAAATTGCGCTGAAGTCAGGCCTAGCCTTCTTTAAGACAAGTAAGCATTCTGAAATCCCCTTTCCTCTTTCCCCAGGAGCTGCTTCATTTTTTCCACATCTGGTAATGCCTTATCCAGATGAATGTTTGCAACTGAAACTCATATTTTCTTGTTTGTTTCCCTTGATTGTTCTAGACTCGGAAATTGCTCTCTTTGTTGCCAGGATGTTCATGTAAGGTCTTATTGCAAATGTGCTCGGGCAGAGAAGGCCGAGAGCAGAAGCTTGGAGGCTGTCTCATGTTTGGGATGACATAAGCCATCCTCTAGAGTGTCCTCTTGGGAGCTGTGCTTAGGAAGGAAATGGCGTGGAAGGCCGTGTAGGAGTGTGAGAACAGCGTTGCAATGGTTGGAATGCAGGATAGGCATCGCTTGGGTGGGCTCAGTTTTCCTCTACTTTTCAGCAGTGCTGGGTGCCAAGTCTGAGGAAGACTGCTCTGCAGAGGTGAAGAAGCTGGAATGTGTTCTTCAGTTGAGGTGAATGCAATTCAGTAAAACTGATAGGCATCAAACTGAATAATGATTTTAAAGTATTTTCACATGATGTCTAATCTGTGCAAATTCACTACCACATAATAGCACTGAGGCTGAGAGCTCAGAAAAGATCAAGTACTTATATGAGTGGTAGTGTGTTCAGACTTGCTTTAGCTAAAGAGCTTGTCTTAGAAGGCATGTTTTTTTCAGACATAACTCAATCTCTAACAGGTAAAGGTTAGAAAAAAGGGCATTGCATTCTGTAATTGTCCACCAGACCTTCTTGGTGTCTTCTAAACCACCTAGTATTGGCTTGTGTCAGAGGTGAGGGATTGAATCACACTTACTATTTAGATTGCCTGCTAACCTTTCCTTTTGTGATAACCACATCTTAAAAAAAAGAAAAAAAAAAAGGCACTACAGCTGCTATGATTAGAGCTGATGGTGGAGGATTTTAAGTGAGGCTCTTGGAACAGTTAGCACAGTCAATAGATGAAGACTGTCTTATTCGTGAATATGAAGGCATGTATGTATTGTTTCCTTACTCTTCAATGGTCAGGCATAGTGAGTTGTGTCTCTTGCCTTTGCTTCCAAGCAAGGAAAGCATGCGGAGTTTGGCCTTTCCACGTTGCAGTTTTATGATGGACTTTAATCCCAAAGACAGCTGAGGAGGTGGACTTTAAAGCTATTCAAGTAACATCCTGTATCTTGTGGCTTGAGCTTCACCTTACTGATGTTTGGGAAGGCACAGCTTGTGTTCTGTGCTCTTGTCCAATTTGGCTGGGATCCAGAGGCTCAGCAGTACTGCTTGGTCACGTAGGCATCAATTTGATTTGCTGGATAGACTAACAAAGGTAAGTGGTAGTGGTAAGATGGTATGTATAAGAGGTGCTTGCAATATCTTCCTAAATGCAAGGGGAACTCCTGGAGATAATTGCAGAGGGGGGGAGGATTTTTAGAGCTAGGAGCAGGTCATGCAAACCCTAAGGTCTGTGTGTGGATACCCTCCTTATGGGCTGCTCTGGAACAGCACTGTGCTCTAGGGCACAACGTAGCCCTTTCGTGGCGGGTGTAAGGAGTTGCTGACTTTCACAGAAGGTGTGTGACACTGAGAGAATGAAGATTAAAAAGTGAAAAGGGTCAGGATTGGGAAATAAGGTTTTCTGTGGAGATGAGGCTGGTTTTTAGGTACCTCCCGCTAGTGGCGAGAGAGAGCTAGTTTAACTTTCTGATTTTTAGGGGTCAGCAAATTCAAAACTGAGAGTCTATGGCAATTGTTGTGTCTTTGGCTGACTTCTGTATTTGTATTTTGTCCGTGAGGTAAAGCTGGCTTTGGCACTGTTGTAGAAATCGTAACTGTGGGTTTTCTTACTCTTGTACTTAAAGACTCAGTTGTCTGGTTGCATTAATGTAACACCCGTGTGCAAATGGTTCTAGAATGAAAAGCGGCAGACGAGGTAGTTTCTCTCATATTGAGGAATCATACTTAGGCTCATAAAAAGCCTTAGGCAAATTTTACTTCGTAGCATTTGTATCGAGAGAACATAAGTTATTTTCCCAAGGCAATAATTAGGTAATTATTGTGGCAATAAGTTTTTTGACCATTATTTTAGCATATGCCACTCAGGGTAACTGAATTCAGACCTGGATATGTCTTGCTTCACAAGCTCTGTGCAATTCCCAAAGATGCCTTGCTTTGTTGTCTCCTGAATGAGATTTCATCGTACAGCTTCCCTGTTCATTAGCAAGGGCTCTGGTGCTGCCCAGTGGGAAGGTTAAAATATTCTCAAGAGGTGACTTGGAATCTGATTAATCTCACATGAGCAAAAAGTGATTGCAATTAATTATACTGTTTTGTTGTTCTGTGTTTTATTTCTTGTTTTTTCCTTCTTTAAGGCATCTTCCCCTTCCCATTTTACTGTATACGA